TGTTCAAATGGCTCAATTTTATCCACCATAACCCTTTAAAAACCATCTACGAATTTAATAAATTTGCTTAGACTATGCTCCTTCGCCTTCACATGTGGCAACATGGTAGCGCTCATAGACACCCCATTCCCTATTATTTTCTATCTTCCCTTGTCCCAATAATTGGAAAATGGTTCGTGCCAATTATAATTGTTCGTTTTCCATTGTTAAAGTATGCTAGGAATTGAAAGAACGCTCCTTTCCTAATGGGCACGTGATGTAGTATGAAAATGCCTATTGCCAATGGTTACCAACGGTCTACAGCCACGGTCTACACATTTAAAATGTTTATAAAAATCGTATTTTTCAAAGAAAGTAGACGAAACCTCGTCAGTAGGTGTGCATGGCTAGTATAAAAAATATTGTAGGTTTTCAGATCGATACAAGTTGTAAAACTGAAGAAATTCAGGAAAGTGTCAACGGTCTACACTCTCTGAGAATTGAATTTGAAGTACTCTAGATCTTATTCTCCTTTTGAGTGTAGACCGTGGGATTTTCGTCATATTTTGCCCTTTTCTTCATGGAATTCATACAAAGGTTAATTTTATCTTTGAGGGGTATTATTATACACCTTTTGGGTGATTTTGGGGGCAAACCTCCCCCTGACAAGTCAGAAAATTGCGAAGAAACAGCCACGGTCTACACAACGGTCTACAAGCGTTCATTTCCGAGGGTGAGAGTTGCCTTGCGGGGCCTTGTCCTTCACATCGACGCGCGCTACATTCGATGAAATAATATATTTTGTTGTGGCAAATGTCACGCAAACAAATACAGCAAGCAATTAACGATGAAATAATCTGCCTTGCGCTTTATGAAGATAAAAGTAGCAGGTAGAGTCTAACTTAAAGGCCATTTTGGCAATGCAGTAACAGTAGGGAAGAGGGCTTTCTTTGTAGTGCTTCTGGGCCAAGCATTTAGGAGGGCAGGAAGGCGAGTGGATGTCAGTTTTATTTCAGTTCCCTTACCAACCAACATGGAATAGTAGATCAATCAGTTGGGAACTCTGATGTGGGAAACACGGGGTTCCTTTCTACAATTTAGGTAAACACTCTGAAATTTGTCATTTGGGCACTGAATTGCACAACAAGGGCCTATATGAATGACAACTTGTAAACCCGTGATAAAAGGAGAGCAACTACCCGACATAATTCTCAAATACGACCATATCTATAATTAGAAACATGAAACAGAGGAATCGATGTCACTTTTATAAAATTGCATCCTTTCCATTTTTAGATTATTTTCTAGCTGCCACTCATATTTGTCTCCTTCATCTATCCCATTATTTCTTAGACAGCCATCTGGCTACGAGCCTTTGAAAAGATTCAAAATACAATCTTGATCTTATTTATTGGAAATCGATTTTGATTTTAGCAATTTTCACCTTAATTGAAATATGGCATTTAGTTTTATGGGGGTAGCTTACCCCCACCCCCGAAAAATAACAATACCCCCATATCTCCTTATCGGTAACACGTACGATGTTGAAAATGGCAGAAATGGAATCAGCACCATCAAAAACCTATAGGAGGATATTGGTTTTGGTGGAATATCTAATAAGCTTCAAAATGAAATTCAGACAATGCCTGCCAAAAGTACTTGGAACACCCACCAATTTACGCTGCATTTGATATCTTTCATTCCTTTCATGAAAAAAATTTGCTACTTCCGCCCCCTTCCCCCTCAAACAATGTTGATGATTTAGAGAAATATCATAAAAGAAGCGCAAAAGAAAGTGCTTCCTAAAATCCTAATCCGTTTGATAGTAAACCAACATTGTTCCGTGGGGAGAGGGGGATGATTGGTTTTGACCTTGGAAATTGATGTCAGTGTTCCAAGACTTTTGGCAGGCATTGTCTGAAAATTATCTTGAAAACAGCAATCTGCGATATCAAAACATTGTGCTACCCTAGGGTTTTCGATGGTGCTGATCTCACTGCTACTAATGAAAATTCGAAATTTTCACTCTTTACCCAGTTAAAAGGGGGGGGGGAGGGGGTTGGGACTCTGAACGATTGATATAGTAGATATCCGAGTATTGTTATTTGTTACAAAAACATTCTACTGATTTTTTCCGTCAATATCATTTAAATCATTATTGAATACAGTTATTTTGTGCAGAATTCGATCATCGGTTTAAGAAAACTATCAATCTTCAAAGGAAAAACAGTACAGTTTAGTGCTTTTGAAAAAGTGTTTTTTTCTGAAAAGTCCCCTTATTTATGGTTTAATTATTGATGAAAAAACAAAAAAATTCATGAGAATGTCTACAAACCATGCATGATATAAATAATTGCGAACAACATGCTGGTGAGAAACTGTTCAAATTGCTCAATTTTATCCACCATAACCCTCTCAAAACCATCTACGAATTTAATAAATTTGCTTAGACTATGCTCCTTCGCATTCACATGTGGCATTCCCTATTATTTTCTATCTTCCCTTGTCCCAGTAATTGGAAAATGGTTTGTGCCAATTATAATTGTTCGTTTTCCATTGTTAAAGTATGCTAGGAATTGAAAGAACGCTCCTTTCCTAATGGGCACGTGATGTAGTATGAAAATGCCTATTGCCAATGGTTACCAACGGTCTACAGCCACGGTCTACACATTTAAAATGTTCATAAAAATCGTATTTTTCAAAGAAAGTAGACGAAACCTCGTCAGTAGGTGTGCATGGCTAGTATAAGAAATATTGTAGGTTTTCAGATCGATACAAGTTGTAAAACTGAAGAAATTCAGGAAAGTGTCAACGGTCTACACTTTCTGAGAATTGAATTTGAAGTACTCTAGATCTTATTCTCCTTTTGAGTGTAGACCGTGGGATTTTCGTCATATTTTGCCGTTTTCTTCATGGAATTCATACAAAGGTTAATTTTATCTTTGAGGGGTATTATTATACACCTTTTGGGTGAATTTGGGGGCAAACCTCCCCCTGACAAGTCAGAAAATTGCGAAGAAACAGCCACGGTCTACACAACGGTCTACAAGCGTTCATTTCCGAGGGTGAGAGTTGCCTTGCGGGGCCTTGTCCTTCACATCGACGCGCGCTACATTCGATGAAATAAGATATTTTGTTGTGGCAAATGTCACGCAAACAAATACAGCAATCAATTAACGATGAAATAATCTGCCTTGCGCTTTATGAAGATAAAAGTAGCAGGTAGAGTCTAACTTAAAGGCCATTTTGGCAATGCAGTAACAGTAGGGAAGAGGGCTTTCTTTGTAGTGCTTCTGGGCCAAGCATTTAGGAGCGCAGGAAGGCGAGTGGATGTCAGTTTTATTTCAGTTCCCTTACCAACCAACATGGAATAGTAGATCAATCAGTTGGGAACTCTGATGTGGGAAACACGGGGTTCCTTTCTACAATTTAGGTAAACACTCTGAAATTTGTCATTTGGGCACTGAATTGCACAACAAGGGCCTATATGAATGACAACTTGTAAATCCGTGATAAAAGGAGAGCAACTACCCGACATAATTCTCAAATACGACCTTATCTATAATTAGAAACATGAAACAGAGGAATCGATGTCACTTTTATAAAATTGCATCCTTTCCATTTTAGATTATTTTCTAGCTGCCACTCATATTTGTCTCCTTCATCTATCCCATTATTTCTTAGACAGCCATCTGGCTACGAGCCTTTGAAAAGATTCAAAATACAATCTTGATCCTACTAATTGGAAATCGATTTTGATTTTAGCAATTTTCACCTTAATTGAAATATGGCATTTAGTTTTATGGGGGTAGCTTACCCCACCCCCGAAAAAAGACAATACCCCCATATCTCCTTATCGGTAACACGTACGATGTTGAAAATGGCAGAAATGGAATCAGCACCATCAAAAACCTATAGGAGGATATTGGTTTTGGTGGAATATCTAATAAGCTTCAAAATGAAATTCAGACAATGCCTGCCAAAAGTACTTGGAACACCCACCAATTTACGCTGCATTTGATATCTTTCATTCCTTTCATGAAAAAAATTTGCTACTTCCGCCCCCTTCCCCCTCAAACAATGTTGATGATTTAGAGAAATATCATAAAAGAAGCGCAAAAGAAAGTGCTTCCTAAAATCCTAGTCCGTTTGATAGTAAACCAACATTGTTCCGTGGGGGAGAGGGGGATGATTGGTTTTGACCTTGGAAATTGATGTCAGTGTTCCAAGACTTTTGGCAGGCATTGTAGGTGACATCATCATTCGGTTACAGCGGTTATAGCTTTGCAATAGAGTTGGATGGTACTTTTATAACAGTTGGACGGCAGAAATGAGAAGAAAGCCATATGAATACCTGGCACGCTCAGATGGCACGCCTCTGATGCCTAGGGTTCGTCGCAATGCCGAATGCAGACTTGTCAGTTTGAATTCAACTTCGTGTTTGGCGTTTTCAATCCGGGTGAGCTGTGTCTCAAGACCTGAGATTCTACCTTCCGCTCCAGAAAGCTTCAGTTTCAGATCAGCTTGATCCTAAAAGATAGGTTTTACGTTAAATCAACATATATTGAAAGACTTTGAACGATAGACATCCGTTCCTGCTAAAACTCTCCCTACATTGTAAGCAAGGAGGTAGTTTAAAAAAGCCAATTCTCTACAATAATGAAAAGGACTCTCGTTTCAGCACATGACATATATCTTGCCGTGTGTACAGCTAGATCTGTCCTTACATAGACCACATTTTGGGAATCCCGACTTTATCACTCTGGAGACAAAATCATTCTCCATTATAGCATCAGGCTATTTCCCACGTATTATGTTACATAAATCATGCTACGCAATAGAGGTATTTATTTACCTGGTTGGAATTTTCGAGAAGGTTCTCCAGGTTCTTTACTTTTTCCTGCGACTTTCCAAGCGCCTTCCTTGCATCGTCAACTGCCATCTGATAGTCTTTCTCCTTCAATCTAAAATCCTCTTCAAAGTCTGCAAGCCTTCTCGCCAGTTGCTGCCCTTCTCTTCTGGATACCTCACGGGCTCCATCTACTTCGGCCAGCTTCTGCTTGGTGCCATAGGCCTCTCTACGACTTTCTTCAAGAAGATGTTCTTCCTTAGCAAGCTGGTCCTTCAAGCTGCTGATTTCCTTCTTTGCCTTCAAGCAATCCGATTCAAGTTGCCTTACCTTGAATGAAGTAGATTGTTAGCATTTCAATAAAAAACATACTTAAATTCATGTCAAACTCAAGGCTGTACATTTCTATGCCATCCATTAGCTTTCGAAATGTACCTTGGTTAAATCATTAAAAACCAACCTGGTTGTGAAGTTGCTGAATTTCCCTGCGAGCTTCTTGGCGAGCCTTCTCGATTTCCCTTAGGTTGCCTCTCATCTCCTCGGCTTCCTTCTGTTGTACTGACGTCTTTTCCTCAAAATGGGCTATCTTCTGTTTTGCCTCGTCCAAACTTCTTTTCAAATTAGCTTTTTCTCCTAATTTGCAAAAAATATCATTAATGAAAACCATTCTGCTACAAACGTGTATCTTCACCTTACAGGCAATATATACGTCGAAAAGAGCTTGCAATTTATATATTTAATAAACATTGGTTGAGGAAACACCTACCTGACAATGCCACAAAGCATTCTGGAACAACAAGAAAACTAAAGACTCACCTTCCGCCCTCTTGACTTTGCCTCGTAATTCGTTTGTGGTTAGTTGAATAGCTTCCTTTTCTTTTTCCTCATCTTTCAACGCCCTGCGCAGCTCTGCTATTTCCTTCCTCGCAGTTTCCATAGCCTCTTCACCGTGCCTGATCTTTCTTTGTGCTTCAATCAAATCTCTTCGAACAGCATCACGTGATTCTTCTACCATTTTCAACTGCAATTTCAATTCGTTTATCTCCTTGTCGGCATTCTCCTTAACGCGAGTCAAATCTCGAACCTGCAGCTCAAGCTCTTCAATTCGTGCCTTGAAGCTAGCCCTAAATCAAGGCAACCATGAAATATTAATTTGCGAAAAGCATTATCAAGAGAATTCATTGATGAATTCGTACAAGGCAACTGTGAATAATTGATCAAAAATTTCAAAATTTAGATGACTATTTTGAATAGCCAGTTCTCAATAACATCCTTGCTTTTGTTTAGAGGTGAGAGAAGCAATGAAAAGACGCATTCATACAGAAATTCGTCAATATTAGAACTTTGAGCGACTGATTGATAAAATATGATAAAATCTCAAATCTACCATAACACGATATTCGGTGTTGATGATTGACTTGATAAAGGTTTAGCTCGTGCACTCAAGATCTTGCTAATAAAACTGAATTTCCAGCAGTAGCATTAGGAAGAGCTTTGACGTTTGCAGGCGTGACATTCACTTTCTGTTACAAACGCCTACTACGTGTAAAAACAACCTTACATTTATCGAATGACTTCATCTGGAAAGGTGTTATAAAACCCAACGCTCAATCAACAAAAAGAGAAAGTCAACATAAAAAGATAAAGAATTAATATCTCTGCGATACAGAGACAATTCTAAGTGATTTATCAACGCATCCACTATACCTGGCAAGCTAGGCAACATTCCTAACTAAAAACCTAAAAAACCTGAAAACATAGGAGTAGAATGGCGTGCTTTTATGTACACATTTCATTGGATTAAGACCCGGAACCCATTCTTACAGGTTTTGCGCATTTAGCAGTCGTTTCTGCAAATGACAGTCCGACATGCTGTACCTCAGTGAAACAGACACCAACAAAACTCGACAATAACGCAAACCATGATTAGCAAAGATCACTTACAGCTTGTCCTTGACAAGTTTGCCCATTTTAAGCAAAAAACTTGAAGGAGGCAGAATTCCATTTACATAGGCAATGATCTCGCTGCGTTTTATCGCAATCGTTTCCATTCTCGAAATCAACACCTATCACGCTATTTCGTTCACGCTGACTCTTCGTTTTCACATAGTCTTATAGACTGTCTCAGATGCCCAACATCAATGTGATAAAACAAAACATGAAGAAGTCACGTGTCCATTTTCAACAAGAACAAAATCACGGACCAAGCAGAAACCAACACAAGAAGCACAATGTAAGGATTTTCTAATTTTCCCAGACACAAAAACTTTATCGACTGGTTTTAATAACAGAAACAGGGCATGATTAAGTACATGCTGTAGTGACGGGGGGAACAAAAGCAAAATGATACTCGGTTCAGCAGATGGTCATCACTTTGACAATCGCAAGGGTAATCAACTTGACTTTCGCTCATTAAGTGATTCGATTGATTGAGCGTTAATCGTGACACATGATTGATCATGAATACCCAGCATACGTTTCGATGCGCTATCAAAGACTGATTAATCTACCAAGGTCTCCATTAGTGATTCGCTGATAGCCCGTTCCTGAGCTAAGTCAGACGTATGCTTGATGATCAATGTAGAGCGATCTTTTAACTAGCTAAGAGAGACTGATTAATCTATAAAACAATCAATCGCTCAAACAACAATATGATTGATCAAGTGTCGATTCCAGAACATAACTATTGTCGGAGAATTGAAAATTTATGCTTATTGCTTTGTCTAATAATAAAATTACATAGTGAACAGCTTTGTGTCACGACAAACCAGCATAGAGTTCGACACTGATTTTGTTTGTTTCAAACATCAATCGCCAAGAAATAAAATTTGTATACGCAAAATAAATTCCAAGATAAATGAAAGCTCGCCATAGTTACAAGAAAGCAACTTGTAAAATATTTAAAGCCAATAACTGTACACTTTTCTTATTTTTCTTATAAAATTCTTACACCACAACCAAGTATCTAGGCGATTCACAGGATCGTTATTGCACACGACAGGAATGCTTGACAATATTCATGTGACATTTTCCTTGTGTTCATTCATGACGATATTTGAAATATTACTATCATGGGTGAGCTCTTAATGCTTAACCCTAATCAAGGCATCAGAATTCGTTATGAGGTATATAATTTAGCATCATCACAGATAAGAAGAGCAGTCAGTAAAATGGCAAAACGTTTGGAAGAATCTGTAGAAAAAGGCTGCATCTACCCCCGGATACTTACAAGGACTCTTCCAGCTGGTCTTTGGTTTGTTTCAGCTCTCGCTGTGTTGCGTTCAATGCAGCCTAGAAGGAATAGAGAGAAAAACACGGATCTTAGTAGGAAATACTGAAATATTCATGCCGTAAATTAGCGAATAGCGAAACAAAGTACAGTTTTGTTTGAAGAAAGAATCTGCAAAACGCGAATGTTATCGTTAATAAATCAAACTAATCGATGCTTTGCGGTAATCATGCTTTCGGCAAAGTGCAAGAGGCACTCAATGGTTTCCATTCATCTTGAAAATCCTAGATATATCAATAATATATTATTCCATAGTATTGCATTGTAGAATCTAATTTCAGTAAAAATGGAAAAATTAATTTATCAAGATGGTTGACAGTGAAGGGTTAAGATAAATATTTACTTTTCCACTTACAAGCGAAGCCTGGGTCATTAGTACTGTAAGTTACTAGGTGAAAGAGGGAAATACCGTGCTTGAATTCGGCCTCCATTCCCGTAAAAAACTATGACCTTCCTTTTGATCCCCATTCTGTATCGTTTTCCGAGTCCTGTTCAATAGTAAATCATACCTCAAAGTTTTATGAAGAAATACCAACGAAGCGGAATACCGAAGCTTACCTTATCTTGTTCTGATTTGCTGAATGACTCTCGTTTCACTCGATCAAGGTCCGCTTTCACACTGTCCAACTCATCTTTTACTTTGTTTCCTCTCTCAACCAACATAGCTTTCTCGTTTGAAGCCATATGCAATGCTTCTTGTTTCTCGCTCTCAGCCATCACAAGCATTTCGTCTCTTTCCTTTTGAACTAAAGCTACTTCGTTTATCAAAGCTGCCTTCTCCTTTTCATACTTTTGAGCGAGTTCCTCAAGCTCTTCTTTGAGTTCATTGATAGCGTCCTCCTTGTCTTGATTGGCCTGCAAAATGCAAGTGTCCTTTTCTTGGGAAAGTCTCTCAACATCTTCCTCGTTTCTCTGCTTTGCACGATTGATTGCAACCTAAAAAGGTAGAAATATATTTAGCATTTGCATATTGAATCTAACTTAACTACCGCAAATCACTAGCAATCTAGTTGCAACTTAAAGCTACTAGACAAGTGTGTGACGTTTCAAACAGTAAATTCAACAATTTACTGTCGCATTTGCTCCTCATACTTAAGTCTTCCTGGATTATCAACTTTGTAGAAATCGCAACGTTTTCATAACACAACTTATGTGTATCAAATAGAAATCTGGGCTTCAATTACAGGCCAATAACATTGCAGTACAATTGATCATCTCATTGTATCAAATAGCATATTTATCCATAATTCATTCGTGACTGTTATGGACAAAAAGAGCATCGCTTTGCTTAAAACTAGACACAGGCTCTTACCTCATGATCTCGGTTCGCAGCAGCAATGTTTTGTTCCAGCCCCTCGATCACCCTGTTCAGTTTGGTTTCTTCAATTTCTCTCTCCTTCTTTACTCTAGCAATGTCCACCGCAAGGGCCTCCTTTGCTAAGCGCAGCTCCTGGTTCTCTCCCTCTAATTGTTCTTTACGTGTTTCCAGCTTGCCTGCTGTCTGCTGGATTTCGTACAAAGCAGTTTCAAGGCTTTCCTTGTCACTTTTCAAGCTAGCATTGGCCTAAGGATGAAAATTTGACAACAAAGTTTAATAATGGAAATGCCAATGTCAAATCATAAAACGCTTATATTATAAGCCAGCCGAATCATAATAAAACTTGTTATCAGGCTCTGTAAACTCTTCAAAGGAGCCAACCATTCAACATTCATCTTGTACAGAACCAATGAAAGCTTCTCGCAATAAATTCTTAAGGATATCAAAAATGTGTTTTCCACTCATTGGAAAAGTATGATGGCTATTGCTTTAACAATCCACCGGGTTCAAAGCCAAACAATTCTAAGAAATGAACTCAGTTAAAGGCCTGGGAAAAGTCATTGTTGACTGGTGTCAGTTCAAACCAGACACAAGCAGTTCCCAATCGAAAATGGTCTTCAGGGTATTCAGAGATTTGGCTCCCCCTATGCGCCACATGCAAATTTACTCACCTCAGACATCGCACGGTTATCTCTCTCTGAGCCAGTCAGCTGAACAATGAGATTGGACTTCTCCTTCGTGAGGTCCTCCTTTTCGCGTGCAAGCCGCACCACGTTGTTGCTTTGGCGGTCCAATTCTCGTCTTGCTTGAAGCAACTCATCATGGAAGCCATCTCGTTCACGTGTCACTTGATTCAGATTTTCGATCAATTCTTTCCTCTCTCTGTTTACTTGAATCAACTCGCTTTCCAGTTTTTCACGCGTTGCTTCTGTCATGCTTAGATTCTGATCCAACGTCGATTTCTCGGTGTCTAGATCAACCTAGTTATGCAAAAACAGCGTCTCCTTAGTGAAAGATCTCAGACCAGAGAAAATTAAAAGGAGGATTCACTATGTGCCGTGTCATTCACAGAATCAAGGCTTCTAAAATTTTTCTCAAGGTAGGGCAAATTGGCATCTATTTACGGGAGTTACTTTGAGATATTTATGTGATTATAGAAGCAGAACAGACCCCGTCGATATGCATTATGAGGGTGACAAGCTTCTGAAATAGGTTTTACCGGGGAAAAAACGAAAGTACTGCCAACCAAGGGGGCTGGCTGTAGGTGGTGTGAGTAGAGGTGCAAGACACCCCCCTAATTATTCATGGGTTTGTCGGTAAATCTTCAGTTGGTGCAAAAATCTTCATCTATGTCTTCGTCAGTAAATTCTACTTCTCATGACCCTCCAGCAACACCCCCCCCCCATTCCCCCTAGTCTGAGGTCAAGTTACGCTACTGATACCAACAAGATTTTTTCGACCGTTCGATCAAAAGAAGTCAATGAAACCATAGGAGCAGATTAATTTGTGTACTGTCCTCACTGTTTCCCAGAACGTCTTCCCGACTCACCTTTTCTTGCTCCACTCTAATCAGTTCTTCACGTATGCTTATTTTTTCTTGCTCGATTTCGTTCTTCTCATTTCCCAGAGCATCTTTCTCAAATTCCATATGCCTGATAATCCTGGTTAGCTCGACTTTGTCCATTCCCAGGGCTTCATTCAAGCTTTGCAGTTTGATCAAAGCGTCCTTCAAAGCAAGCTCCTCCGTCTTCACCCTGTTTATTTCCATTTCCACTTCCGCCTTTGAAAGCTCAGCTTTTGACAAAACCTCCGACAGGTGGGATTTTTCTTGTTCAATCACCTCTTTCTCAAGAATAGCTCTGTTAAGCTTTTCTTTCAGATCAACACACTCTTCCTTGATACTAGAGAGTTTAGCTTCGAGATTTTCCACAATCAGCTGTGAGCGCTTCAGCTCACTGAGCAACTTACCTCGTTCTTTCCCTAAAACAAAATCAACACGCTGTTCAGAACTGCTAATAGGTTTACTACAGCAGGTGATCAAAACGCTTGTTGTAGAAAAAAAATGCTAGTTGATAAACTTCAAATCTGAAGTCAGAAGAAAAATAAATCTGATGTTTATGCCGAAAGTAAAAACTATTTTCCTGCTAGCCTTACAAGCAGATGCATGTGTTGAGAAAGAAAGAGGGGCGTGGTTGAGATGAGGAGAAAGTCGCGTAAATATGGTTTCACAACTAGCAAAATTTATCAATTTCAAATATCTTTCTAAGATCTATTTTGTGAACCGGTGACAAAGAGAAGGTGACGAACATCAACAAAATGTTCGCTAAACCCAAAGGAATCGATCACCCAAACTCTATTTAGGGCATATCGATAACTAACTTCACTGGAAAACAAATATGAGCAAACAAAAATGAAAATGAAACCTGAATCATCTTTCTCATCCTCCAAATGATCTCTTGTCCTGATCAGATCAGTATTTGCGAGTTTAAGTTTTTCAATTTCAGAGGTTAGCTCCTCAACATGCTTGGCTAAAGAAGACCTTACTCTGTCTAAATTCTGCTTGTCGTTGCTTGATAAGTCGAGCTGCTGCTTAAAACGGTCCCGATCGCCTGCAACTTCCACCAATTTTCTTTGCCTGTACAAAAAATTAAAATTTGATAGAGAACAAGAGAAGCAAACAAAATTCTCAGTACACTCTTTACCTAAATTTTTAACTTTTCTTTAAATCATGACTGTTATATTTCCAGTTAGTACAACAACAATCGCTATTCACTCAAAGCTAAACATACTCAATACAAAAAGTACAAATCATGTACATATTCAATACAAAATATAAGTCTCCGCCCGTTCAAACTTAAAACTCTTTCAGCACGGGATTTCTCATTATTTCGTTCTAATCAATACGAGATTCAAAATTCAAACGTGCTTTCCACGACCAGAGTTTCTGACTATGCGTCTTTTTGACCATGCAAAAAACGAAACAGCTTAACAAATATGTTAAGATTGCTTCAATATCCAAATGTCAAATAAGGTTCTTTTAAATTTTCCTTACGTTCTGTCAAGCTCCTCATTCAACTTGTTAGCATTTGATTCGATTTCTTTCTTCTGCTTGCTCAAACTGTCAATTTGTTTCCTGGAAACGCTAGCATCATCCTTTGCCGCGTTCAACTTTGACTTGAGTTCCTGTTGAAGAGTACAGTAATAAAAAAAACACATTCTGCAAATAGAATATTAATAAATAAAATATAAAATGACAGTAGTATTAAGTGGATGCTTTAGACACATGCAGTCGTATGGATAAAAAGTTTTATCTGTTAATTTCATTTCAAGCTTTCTCTGTATTGAGCACCAACAGGCTTTCCCAAGTTATATCAATCAAATTGTCTCATTGAAAACCTTAAAAAATTTGTTAAAAGTGAACCTATTTTTATAAATTAATTTAATGAAATAAATATTATAACATAAACTAATTAACCGACTAATTCTTTATAAAAAATGCGTCTCCAAATCTATTTTATCTAAATCTGAAAAGGATGTAAGATAAACAGCTGTTAGATTTCAGCTCCTTCAACTTTAATACATTAATGAATAAAAGAATATTGCTTCTAAAAAATTGTGAGTTGATAAATGAACTTTTTAAAAGTTATGATGAAAACGACTTTTTGTAGCACAACACTCCTAGAACACAAGCTAACAACGACAACAACATGCATGGGTTTTCAGGCCTACCTGCACCTGCAGTTGGCGCTTCTTCAAAGCCGTTTGAACAGCAGACACTGCGGAGTCGGCAAGCGCAGGCGTCCTAGCCCTGGTTGGCGACAAAGACCTCAACCTAATAGCACGGGATGGTGAGGGTGAGCGGTTTTTGGTGGTCACGCGTGTGTATGGGGTAGAAGTGACGTAGCTACCCTCTAGCTCTTCTGCTTCTTCGGCGTCAATTTCCTCCATTCCATCGCCAGTTGGAGAGCCTACCATTTTGGCAGTCATCTCTGTATCACGAATGACAGTGTTTGTAATCTCGCGAAGAGTTGTATGGAGTAAATCTGCCTCTTCCTTCACAGCTAGAACACTCGCTTGACTTTCCTTCTCCCACTTTTCACTCTGCTCAACAATGCCATTCTCCTGAAAAGCCAACAAGATTCATAAGAAGTTTTGATCATCTATTCACTCAACAATTGCGAAAATTGTTTGAAAGCTGTATGAAGTTCCCGCCCCATATTTAGGAGCTAGGCCAAGAGGAAGTCTCAATAATCATTTCTCGAAAGGTTTAATTTTCAAAATAATTCAGCCATTTTCAGCAGGCGAGTCGTTTTACGACTGTGAAAATCGTTCAGCAGTTATCTGAATTTCTCGTCATTTGCTCTTTTGAGGTGGCAGTATTCGCTCACTAGTCAGATGAAAACGTAGATCAAGCTTTTAAACTTACCAAACCAGACAGCCTCCTAGTAAGTGCATCAATCTCTTCGTCCTTCTGGTTGTTTTCTTGCTGAAGCTCCTTGCAAAGTTTAGTCAATTCGTTTATCCTTTGGAACGAGAGACAAACTGTCAGATATAAATACATGATACCAGTGAAGTAAACTCTGGTGATCTTTAAATATATTTTAGATGAATGAAATTGTAGTGAAAGTTAAACATACTTCTGAGCGGCATTGGCAGCGTCCGATTCGAACTTCGCTTGCAGCTCCATCGATTCCTGGACCCTTTCACGAAGTTGACGCTCAGTCTGTTGGAGAACAATTGAGAAAAATAAATGAAGTGACAAAGGAAAGACGAGAAGGGATAGTTACTTGGAGAAGAAAAGATTCGATCAACATGTATGCGAAAACTCAAAAACTTCTTTTGAGGCTACATAATCTGATGAAACAAGGTGAAGCCATGAAGCCGAATATTTGATATTTGATATAGAAAATGTTACCTTTTCGCGACTACTTCTTTCTCTTTCCAAGACGGCAGAGGTATTTGATTCTGTACCACGTTGGACCCTTTCCAGGTTGATGCAAGAACTTTGAATTGTACGCGCAGATTTGTTGACTTCAGCTCGCACCATTGTCAATTCCCTATAGTAAAAAACAAAGTCAGTATAAGGGAAATAGAAAACAGAGGCCAAGTAAAATGCTTACCTAGACTGTGAACAGCCAGTTGGACACCCGGTTTATGGCTCATCAAAAGCCTTCCAGGTTTGCAAAATAGGAATATATTCGAAATAGCAAAATGGGGTAGAACAAGCTCAACTCACAGCTGGTTCCAAAACAGACAACTTGGAGTATGGCTGCCCCCACAGTGAACTATAAAACTCTCCCCAGAGGACAAAAAACTTTCGTATTTATAAATAAGAAGTTAAATAACGACAGCATACAAAAACTAAAATTTCAAAATGGGAGACAGCAAAATTTCTCGACTGAAATTTTTGCATTAGGCAATTATCTTTATGAAATATAATGGGCTATTTTCACAAAGTCACCAAAACTTTGCTCTTGGACTAAAACCTACAATGGCTGTCAAAAGAAGTTGGAAAACCAAGACCGCCCTTGTAATAAATGCACTTGTTACACTGTTTCTGCTTCCACTTCATTTTCAATAATTTTCTAGTCGGAATCCAACATTGGGGAGGGAGGGGGAACGGAGGGAGAGGGAGGGGAAGCGTTGTGTAGGAAAGATAATGAGAGTATTTCAGCACTTTTGGCAGGCATTGAAGTTTGCTTTGATAATTAAAAAATGACATTGCTTTCCTGAACACTTTAAACATAAAACTGTTAAAGATGACAACTGGACCTCCATAAAATTGAACTAGCAAATTAATATATAATATGTATCAGTTACTTTTGTGCTTGGATCTTCATTTCGTTGAATTGTCTTCTGAATCCATTGACTGTTTGCCAGAGGGTAACCAATCTGTCGTGTTCTTCACTGAAATATTTCTGTTCCTCTTCTTCTCTCTGTTCCAGTTCCTCTTTTGCCTTGTTCCAATCAGCAGTCAGCTTCTGGACTTCCATATTTAGGCTATTATTTGTTTGATTTGCTTGTTCCAGTTGTTCTCTTAGCATATTGTTAACGTGTTGGAGGCTTGAATTTCTACAAGATTAAAAATATATACAATAATATGGCAAAAAAATTACTAGTAATCATAGCATTGTGCTTCCGGAAAACTGATATATTCTGCATGCCTTAAAAAGCAACTGAGTGCATTCAGATCCATTTAGATGGTGTATCCAACAATTTAACATTCACATAACAGCCAATCAAATCAAACCACATGGAGTTTGCTTTACTGTTAGATCACAGAAAACCATGGAAAATAATATTCAGCCTAAGAAACAAAATTCCTTGGTGAAACCTGACATTACACTGATAATAGATGTTAACACAAATCCTAAACAAGACTATTCACATTCAATGTCCTTTTAAGTACTTAAGATAATTCAACTAGGGCTGCTGGTATAACAATGTCATGGGTAAATTTTTTCTGTATAAGATTACGCACCCTTGGAATACTATAATAGATTTCAGAAACCAAAATTGATAATAAATTAAAAATAATTCCAACAATTCAAAAAACCTTTGTTGCTCTTCCTCTAGCCGAATTAGTGTATTGTCAAGGTCAGTGCTATGTTCTTCCTCGGTTTCCCTTAATCGCCCTTCATAAGCTTGCAAGTTGGCGGACACATTTTTCAACTGATAAAGAAAGAGCAGCGAAAAATATTAACTAAATAAATAAAGTAAGAGTTTCATTATGGAATCTTGAAAGCGCAATAATTTCACAAATGCTTTTTCCTAAAAACAGCTTTTTCCTTTTAATTCTGTTCAATTTTGTCTTTAACATTTATATACATATAAATATAAGAATAGAAAATAAAAATATGTTACAGATAAAAAAGCTTATATGGTGTATATTTTAGATTGAAACAACCTTATTCAAAACGACTAGACTTATTCAAACCTGTTTCTGCTTTGCAAAGCAAATAAGTAAACTTTATAAAAATATGTATGGAATCAATACAAACAGACTAAACTTGTTAATGTTTTCAAACCAACTAGACTTGAATGTTCAAACCAACTAGACTTGTTCATGTTTTGCAAAGCAAATAAGGAAACTTTATTAAAATATGTATGAAATCAATAAAAAACATAAGCATTTTGCAACTTCTGAAGACTTTATTGCTAAGAGATTGTAATAACATCTACTTCGTTCTATAACATTTTTGTTGTAGTTTTGTAGTGCCTGCAGTTGAAGAATTATAATTGTAGCTTTGCTTCCAAGGCCAATACATTATATGCATAAAAAAACTACTCACCTCACTCTGCACTTTTTCAAGCTCTTTACTCTTATCACTCATACTATTGTCTAGCTCCCCACATTTCCTTTTATACTGTAAAACCTTAAGTACAAAACAGAAGCATGATAGAAACAGATAGAGAAGAAACATCATAGAAAAGAAGTGATAAAACAAAGTGTTTGGGTGTAAAAAAAAATAATGTGTTTTAGAAATAAACAAATATCCGGCTCTCACTAATAACTTTTTTGAAAAATCTACCAAAAATGATGCTTCAGATACTGTTAACAGTCAAAGTGACTTGACTATATTGCCCTGCGTATTGTTTAAAGGCTTTTGTCAATCGATTCCAAAACTGCTAGATGGAAAGACGATACCAATCATCCGAATTATTCTATAGGCATGAGCACTGATTGATCAAATATATCGGTCTTGTGCTTGCGTTTTTCTGATTGGTTTATTTCGATCCACAACTGGGTATATAATTTTCATCATGTTCTTTCAGACCTTCATTCTGATGTTTTATGCTCTGAGGAATGTCAGACAAAAAAGCTTTTAACTGGATATTTTTAAGCCATTAGGATTTGGGAGTTAAATATCTCATTCCATTCCTAGACCTCTGAAGGTTCAAGTCTTTACTAAGGCACAAAATACACAAGGTTCACCTAAAGTCAGAAACTAACAAGATATGTCTCGCTTTTAACAATTTCTTTACATTTACATGAAACACGCAGAATTTCTGATATCATCTAGATCTTATAAACAATATTAACACCAAAAATTTGAGCACTGCCTTTGCTTAAACAGTTTATAAATCCCCCCTCTCTAAAAACAGGACTTGCCATACAACGTAATTATTAGCCAGGACTACTGACTTTGAAAGCTGAAAAAATTTACTTTTGGATCAAATGGGATGCAGATTATTGCAGGCAAAAAAGGCTTATCATCAGCATGTTACCTCATAATTAATGCATTAGTATGTTTGTAATTACTTTTGCACATCTAGGTCAAATCTGCACAAAAATTTTGGCTAAAGGAATAAGAAACTAGTAAACTTGCAATCCACAAAAAGAATTATCTGAATTATTTAGTACCTTGCTCTGAAGCTTCTGTATAAGCTGAGCCTGCCTCTGCTGTCCATCTTGATAGGCTTGTAGTTTTCGCTTGTAATTTGCATGCTCCTCGTCTAGCTTTTGCCGCAAAATGGCATTCGTTTGCACCAAAGATTCACCTGGTCCTGCATCTCCATTGATTTTAGGTGAATCTTCCATAACTACTCGACTTTTTGAAGTAGAGTCTCCAACCTAGAGATCACCAACAGATTATAGAAACCAGAAAATGAAGTTCTTTGTTAAAGAGAGCTATTTTCAAAGTACTAAATAACTGGCAGTGAAGGACCACACAGATTAATTGTCAATGCCCTGAAGTGTAAAAACTTGAAACTTAAGGGTTTTGAATTCCAAGGAAAGGCACCATGCTAGAATGTTGAGGTATGTACATATAATGATGCAGAGATATCTGCTGGATAACAAAGTTCCTTTTCTTTTACACATCGCTCATTGTCACACTTTTGTGTTACCAAAATATTTTGCCTGACTTTTGCAATGAAACAAAACAATGGTGAAAGGAAGTCATATGAAGATGGAAGGAAGTCATAGACAATTGTAGTGTTTGTTATCTGTCAAGTTTAGATAATCTATGCCTTAACTTCTAGGTAAACCTGGAAATTAGCGTAAACTGTTATTCAAACAAACAAACTTTTAAAAATACATTTTACTTTAAAATTGTGTCACATGCCCCTTTGTTACACTTTGATATTAAGTTTTGCATAATGAAATATGTGGCTAATTTTATTTGCTGATCCATGACTTACCTGAAGGGAATTAATTTTCAAAACCACAAGGTCATAATATTACTTTGGTGACCTCATTTTTTAAGGATTTAAAAACAGTCTTTAATGTCACATGATTAATCATATATCTCATATTAATTTTGGGTCAAACATGACCAGGTATAATACTATGCAGCCTGCAAAGGGCTTTCTGCAGCCTCAAATGTGATTTCCAAATAAAAAATTAGGTGGATTCTACATCAAAAGTTTTATATTTTCCTTACTTACATAAAACTTTCTAATTCACTGCTACTACCATTTACGGCATAGAAACAGGGCAATGAAAAGTAATTTAATAGATAAGGCCAGTTTAATTTCAATTCAAAATACGTTTCACTGGTCAACCAAAAGGAGTGAAATGTTTCTCAACTATCTTAATCAAACTTCCTGTTACTCCCAATTTCGAAAGGTAAGCAAACGTCAAAACTTGAATTGACGTCTTATGGACTGACGGAACAAAGTTTGTTTCCCTTAATCCTTTGTAGTGATATAGTAAACTCATTGATCAAATGGAACAATGAAAGAACACATGTGTTGGTTATCCCTCTGTGACAAAAACAAAGGAAAACACCGATGAACGTCACAAAAGGTCAATAGCCAGACAATAAACAGAAGAGATTATCTTTGAGACATGAACAAAGGAGACGTGGCGAACTCCTTTTGTGTCCCAAGTCCGTTGTCAAGGTGACACAGGATGCAAATGGTCCCTGGGTTGTACTTTCTTGCAATGAAATACAACGAGAACGAATCTATTTGTTATTAACAAGAAAATGAGAAAAAAATTAACTGAACATATTCTAGATACGAAAAATAAAATCTTACTACATTTGAAGGGTTGTTGAAATTTTACTGGTCGTTGCCCCTAGATACATAAGAATGCAAACCAGGCTTATCTCAAGTTCTTCCACACGAAACTGAGCAACGGTTGTTCAGATTTCAAAAGAAATTCTAGAATGGGAACCCCTCCGAGTCTCACATGGCCAACTCGCTAAGGGGCGTTTTCGCGGTAAACAAGTACTTGTAAATAACAGGCAGCTTTTTCATAATGAATTGATGGGTTTAGTTTCTTTGCAGATCAATTTTTTCGTTGCGAGAATTTGAATTTAACATAGTCCTCGCACTAAACATTGTATTTGCACAAGGCTGGAGAACCGTTAAAGAAAGTCTTAAAAAAGCTACAGATAAATGAGACAGAATCTATAATTGTTGCGGTCTGATGTGTTTGCAGTTAGACTTGCTTCCTACGTAAAACTTACTCTCGCTAACAAAAGTGACTAGGCTATCGACAAACAAAGGTTTAGAAACTAACCTTCTCACTCAGAGCCGAGTACTTTGAGCCTATTTCGTCTCTCTCTGCCCTCGTGGATGCGAGCAAGTCCTCTAACTTTGACAGCTCATCTTGCAGCAAACGGTTCTCGTTTGCAAGACTTGACTCCCGTGACATTGTTGTTGTGCCAGGGGGAGATATTGATCTTGTTACAATTTCTCTAATTCGAGCAGGAACGTTCTGTGGGTCATCGAAATTAGCAAATCGTTCACTAGAGTGACTGTCCTCTCCAGCTGACAGGTGATCTTCCTCAAGTTTCTACAACGTTGAAAAACTTTTTGAATGGTTTTATAAATGTTCCTAAGAAGGCAAATTAGAGAAATATTGACACTCTATTTTTTAGAGAATCAGACAGCGAGAATTTGAGTGATGAAATGTTGTAGTTCTTTATCGAGTACTCTAGCTAACATTAGGCTAGACTTTGGATACCTGGACGAGAAAAAATTCCTTGTGGGCGGTTCAAGATCATGCTTACAAGCTTTGTTCCCGAAAAAAGAATGAAACAAAAAGTTTTAGCTAGCAAATATTGAATCGATTTGTTTAATAGGTAAAAGCACAAATCCATGCAAAATTTATCAAAATAAATTTGAATCACAATTACAACACAATGCAGTACTACACCAAATATAAACATCCACTGACTGTTGACTCGCAGTTATCTTGTTTAAAACAATCATACCTTGATAAAATTACTGAGATCCCCTAGGTTATCTGCCTGGTCAGCTAAGAAACTCATTTGATGGCAACTAAAATGAGGAAAGCTGGATTCAAATTTTCATCGCCGAGCCAATTTCGCGAGAATTTCTATGCTTTGCCGGTTTTACAATGCAAATGCAAGTGAACGAACGTCATTAAATTTGAGATGGCTTGAAAAAACATGTTATTTGATTTCTAAGAGCGAAAACCACAATGATAATAAAAGTAAGAGTACAATTATTCACAGCTTCGAGTTGGATATTAGGCCTGTGTGACAAATCCAAATGAAAATTGCAGGTAAGTGATAAGTATGAGGTTCTTACAATGCCAATGCGATAAAATGCGGTTCAAGACAATCAGAATTGCAGGTGTTACCAAAACAACTCTGAAGACTGCTCCTTCTGCTGCCAGAACTGTGATTTACCAACCATTCAACTTGAAACCTGCCCACTGATACATCGGAGAGTCACCACGCGCATTCTAAACTGAAGACGCGCTAAATTCAAATTTAATTGGCCCACAGAAACGAGGCTGCTATTGTTGGAGGGCAAACAAAAGGAAACTCTGCACTCGCATTGGTTTCCAAGGAAGAGGCTTATTTGCATTTGTTTCTGTCTCGTTTACTTTTTAACGAAACATCCTTTTTCGTTTTCCACTGAAATCGAAGTGTATCGTAACAGGAAAATTTTCTTTCCAGATTTATTTTAGCGGAAGCTGTGCAGTGCAAAATATTAGCCAATTTAACTCCTATTGTTTTTATTAAGGCCATTTCTCATTGCGTGAATTGTTCTTAGGCGTATTCGTTATTTCTGCTTGCTGTTAAATTCAATATTTATTGCTTTTTTCCGAATTATGCTAGCAAAAGCCATTATAGTGTAAATAAGAGGCATGTCGTTATGGCATTAGCCCCCAGCCCCTTTCACGACACCCCCTATATGCAGTCAGAGTGTTTTGTTAGGTAAATACCCAACACAATGTCGATTCTTTCAGAAAGTTTATTACATTTAGCCAAGCAAGGACCGAGCCAGCGGGGGACCAGGGGGGCCTTTGCCCCCCAGGAAGCTTAGGAAACATAAGTATAATACTTTTATTTTGTGAAATATGGCTATTGTTACACTTATTTATTAGGGCTGCTCCCCACGAAAAAAAAACTTTATTTTGTTCTGTAACCAAGTATAAGGATTGAATCCTGCAAGCGTGTTAATTTTTGCCTACTAGCAAATTTTTGAAGAGCTTTCCAATTAATAAATACAAACTTCCTCTCGCCGCATCTGGTTTCCACATGCCTGATCCAAACAAAGGGAAGGTGAAAAATCTGTAGACAACGCAACACACTGAAAATATTTGCGAGGCGCTTTTCATAAGCAAAAATATTGACATTAAAGAAGTTTGACCAGGTTGTGTTTGGTAAATAAAACATGGCATGTTTGATTTATAAATCATGTATTTCAAATAGGCAGTAGAGAAGAGAGAACAGCCCTGTCACTGTGGATTCACAAGTTAAGACAGGGAAGGGGTGTTAGCGTCTAACCTTATAGAGAACAGGGCTTCCGACGAAGGGGGACCGGCCAGCCCCCCCAGTTCTTCAAAAACAATAGAATGTTTCGCAAAATATTTTGTTATGGGTGTCAATCTTTCCCTTGCCCCCCACTTTAAAACCCGAGTTCAAACTTGTGTCGGAGCCCATGGAGAATTAATGAATTAAAGATTACATTCGATACTTCAATGACTCATGGCATGCTAGGGTTGATGTAATCAACAGGATAAGCTGAAAATCCAATGAAATGGCAGTCATTAAGAATAGTCACCGTTCATTATTAACAATAGGATCTGGCCCCTGAATCTTCTTATCACTAAACCCCTTTCAAATATCTTAAAGGTATTATTATTAAGTTCAACGTATAAAAGGAGCATTTAACGGCTTTTGCGCTTGTCATTGTGAGATCTCATCATAAAGCATTTGTGTTGGCAGAGTATTACGGAATAAGATAAAAAACATTAACTTTTTAATATCAACCAAACCTTTTTCAACTTGAATGTATCATAAAATTGAGCAAAGATTATCAAATAATCATAACAAAAGTATATTTATAGTGTATGAATATCAATTTCTGCACAGCCTAATGAACAATAAAGCTGTACTGGACATTTAGATAAAACTGGAATATATAGTTTGCAGGTTGTTAATAACAGAGCAAATAAATTTGTCTTGTGCATCTTGAGTTATTTTATAAGATTAAATCAAATAATTGTTTAAATAAAGGACTGGTTGAACGCAATTATTATTGGAGCTAATCTTATTATTCTAAAGCAATATTTGAAAAGAAGCAGTTTATGAATGATAATATTCCATCATATGAAAGCAAATGAAGTTTAAAGGCTACCGTTGCCACATAAAACATTGACCATTGAAAAATGTATGAAAAAATAAACATCAAAACAAGATATGGTAGCATCTTGAATTGTAAAACGAAGTTGCATGAAAGTAAAATGACAAGCAAATCAAACAAATTAAGGAATATTAAAACTCCCTTACATTTATGAATTCTGCTTATAGAACTGATGGTAGAATTGAATTGATGAAAACTGAGGCGATGTTTGCCTAGATACCTCAACTAAAGCAGCTGCCGTGCAAAGAGAAACAAGAAAGCCAGAGCACACTATTAAAACCTGCTCTCTCTCTTATTTTCTCCAATCGATTCCTCCGTTTCCTGTGAATTTCTTCGAACCACAAACATCTGCTCCCAAAAAGTCAGATGTTTGAGAATACCATGAAGGGCCAGGTACACCTGCTCTCTGTGAATGCAAATATATAAGGAAGTTAATACGTCTTATGATAAACACTGGCATGCGGAACTGATATTTTTTGACCATCTAGAGTCATCAATTGTCAAATTTGTCCCAAGCCTGAATAATTATGAAAAGGAAATTCAATTTTTGAAGTAGGGAGATTTAGATTTGATTGAATTTTATTGAATTTGACTGCATTCCTTGCCATACGAGGCATTTTCACAAAAGGGAAAGAATACATAGGCACCTCCATGAGCTGCAAGTAGGCACTTTACCCTGGCTTATCTAGGCACATTACTGAAAAGAGCATGCTCTCCCAATGCCCTCGACCCCGACATTTAGCATCAGCAAAGATATCTCTTTTCTTGTGGACCTCTGTAGTGATGATATTAATACCAACGGGGTGATAAATCCTAATGATCTTCTAAAGAAACAAATGCGTGTGTACCTTTATAAAAATAAGCAAATGCATAAATCAAATTAGATTCGTATGATTCGGGGTGGTTTGATCAGAGATCGTGTTGTACGTGAGTGATGTATGTAATTATATGCAGGCCCGTCTTTAGCTATTGTGTTCAAGGAGGGGTTTCCCAGTCCCAATTGCCGACAGAGTGGGTGAGCCATCCTTTATTTGCCGACAAGTTTGGAAATTTGCCGACTAAGCACCCCTAGATGGCAAAACGTCTCGTTTTTATAGTGGAATTTTTTTCAAGGGGGTGTCACACCCCACACGTCCTCTATAGCGACAGGCCTGACAATGAGATAGCAATGGGGCAAAAGACCCAAGAAGAGATAGGAATGTGGACGATAAAAGGAGCACAGAAAAATGATAGGAAGCAAACTTTCTAAAAGCCAATGATTTTTGCATTTTCAACCATTTTACTCGCACGTTTTTGAACGTAATCTAACTGCATCGCCGAATTCTATTGCATTTAAAAATAGTTAGAGCTATTTAAAAAATCTGTCACTTATCGAACTGTGCAAAACTTTAACAAAAGTGCTACCATTACCAGCTCTATACTTTAGAAACAGGGTCCGCGCCACCGGGGAGGCCGGGGTGGCCATGGCCCCTCCTTTTTTGCGAAGCAAGTAGTTTTAAAGTTGCATTAAAAGGAGTTAAAAGCCTTGGCCCCGTACATTCTTAGCCCCCAATCCCCCTCTTTCAAATTCGTGGTGCAGGCTCTGAGAAGCTGAGAATCATGTTGAAGTATCATCACGACAAAGGCTCTTTTTCTTCGGTCTGTACCCCGCTAAATGCATCTTGCCTCTACCAATCAGTCATAAGTAAAATAAAAACTTTGTTCCAAAGTAATCCTAAAAGCTTAGCGTATATTACTATTCAGTTTGTAAATCCTACTAAAAAACTGAAAAGCAATTTTAACAATCGAGTCAACAGAATTTAATCCCAAAAGAAAAACTTACTGAATAGAAAATCATAGATTGGTCGGTTATCGAACGCATTAGCATGCCCTATGAAAGTTTTAAAGAATATCAATATTTGTAGAAAATATTCGTCCAGACGGTAGGCAATTTAATATATGATTAGGGTTTGATAAAAAAATTAGAAGTGTTTGTCCTTTTTCCAGTAATAAATGTAACAACACTCAAAAAATCTACTTTAACTAAGGTCTTGATAAAGCCTACTGCCTTGACACAATGAGGTATTCTTATACCTCATTGCCTTGATAGAGCAAGCAGCATATTTGTCGGAGGCCAATCACTCCATGAAAATCTCGCACACCTTTGGAAGAAATTCAGTTGTTTAATCTGAAAATCTCTTGATCTGAGACATTGTGCGCTTTTTGAAAAATAGACTTACAAATATTTTAGATATCATGAAATGTTTTAGACTTTAGTTTACGAAGTGATTCGGATGTTGTAAAATAATTTAGAATTCATTATAATATTCTAGACCAAAGATTATCCAAACCCAGCAAAATGATTTGAGTCATGTAAAGCAAAATAATTTGAACAACGAAATTGTAATATATGAGAAACCGTTATATATGAGAAAATTCATTTTTGAACGCGATAAACGTTAGTAAGCCAACGTAAGAAGGAAACTAGACACAGCAAATCAAAGATTTAGAAACGGAAGTAATTTTTTACTTTTGTCGGCTATGTTGCATCACAACAATTCTCCTCTATATTTTACGTTGCATTCTACGTTATCCAGAGCATAGCCGTAGAGTCTGGCCTTGGTAACCAATAAGACTTTAACTGTGCTCTTACCAACCTGCCAATGATGATTAAACATTTACAAGAGGTTTATCTTATGGAGCAGGTTCCAAAAGGCAAAATGAATAGCATGAATCTCTCTGAAAATAATCAAACATAGAACATAAATTATTGCTTCCTGGTCTTCAAATTCACTAAACTTAGCACTTATCCTCAATATCCTTACAAGATTAATGGTAAACAAAACTAGTGCGAATAATATTCCTGTCTCGACTTTGAAATACTTCCAATGTTAATCTTTCTTGAAGAAAACGTCAAGCTGTCAAACCTTTTTTGGAAAAGATAAGAGATTGAACTTGCGACAAGCCTTCGTTCTGAGTTCTGTCAAGCCTCACGGTTGAATAGTGACCCCTCATAATCATATAAATAGCTACGAAGAAGCGTGTGCCTAAAATTAGCTTCTTGATGATTCAGGATTCAGGGGGGGGAGAATTTCAATGGTGGGGAGAAGGGGAAAGAGGGCCTCTAACATTTAAACGAGAATGACGCAAGATTTCCACATAACTCTTTGGTTCATCTCTGCATCGAAGAAGTCTTATCTCATTCGATTTTTGTTTGTTACTTTTTGCTGATGTTCCCCACTTTCAAAACCTCTGCCAACGTACCTGTCTTCTTGGTCTATGGTGCGAGGCTTTCCTCTGCAGGCAGTGAAATAGTTCCGAAACAGGTATTGACGTTGCTATCGAACCGAGACAAGAGATAGCTTCAGGGTCCCACTTGCTCACTCTGAATTTGGTCTTCATAAGACCGAAAAAGTAAGTATTGCGTTTGGTACAGCTAAGGCCCATATAGACCAAATGAAAAATCACTTCTTCCATTCCATTATTTTTTATAAATAAGCTTAATTCGCAGCTTGACTATAAGAAACGTAATAAAAATGAAAAAACCCTTTCTTTATATTGATGACTTTGTTAGAGACTGTTAGATGAGAATGTTCGACATTTAAACCGACAATGAGTCTGTTTCATTCAGCGTACATAGGATATTCAGTTCAAAGAGAGTTCATTTTAGCTGCTTCAAACAGGCACATTAAAACAGGGGGGTCTCAGGGGGCTATAACCCCCTTTTGCTAATTATGATATTCGGGGTGGGACATCAAAGATGATGGTACACAACATAGGCGACAAGCAAACTCGTCTAAAGCACTCCCACTTCCAAAATGGCAACCCTGGCAAAGACCTTAGAATCTCCGTGCGTTTTAGTCTGAAGAAGACCCCAGTGCACAGTAAGAAGCACCTGCTAGTACGAGGTATGGGGGTGCTGCTGCTGCCGCCTTGTTGTTGCGCACTGAACGCATCCTGGTTTATAGAGTACGGACGGGCACAAATAAAATACAAAACAAAAGACCAAGGGATCTGTAACACTTCTATATTCTTTTCCTCTCATGAAGCTTGCTCTCCCTTTACAATTATCTGTACTTTTCTTGTTTAATTCCAAGCAGTCCCTCAGTTTTAAGACTTTAGAATGTACAATTGGCTAGGTCAGCGATTCTGGTATCATTAAGTGATGAAATTGGATTATTGTCGAACTTATGAAAATAGATCAAGTGTACAGTGATGTGAAATATTTATAAGCATTGATGGCCATATTCAGCTTTGAGATTCTCTGAAACAGCAGGAGCCTGTTTAAAAATTGATAATCCAGCCCACAAACTACAAATTGATGTGATTCAATTGCTTGCGGCATTCTATCAAGCTTGTAATATTTGCATTGATAAGGCGACCGTGTCTTCTCAATGTGAAGGTAACTGCAGGGCTATCAATAAAATGTTAGATACAGCTGTAACGGCTATATATTTTTTTAAGAATCTAGCGTTTTAAGAATCTTCTTTCCTTTCATGTTGTACCAAAGTTTTAGTTCGGAGGCCTTTTCAAAACACCCAGTTGGTAATCATCAGTGTCATGCTAAAGGAACGTGAAAGGCTCGCTTCGGGACAATATTTTAAAAAGCGGCCGAATATTGTACGTACTCATTGATCCTACTGCATGAAGATACAAAACACAATCAATTTCTCAAGGCGACTGCCGCTAAGCATGCCGGTTGCGCAAGAGCCTTTAAGTGAAAATAATGATGTTAACGAGAACTTTAAAGTGTATAAACTTCTTTAAATAAACCAGCTTGCGTGTCGTACAATATGACGTGACAACATAACTATAAAAAATCCTGAAGTTGTACGAGGAAAATAAGCGAATTTAAAATAACGACGTTTCAAGCATAGCTAGTTATGAAGTCTACGCCCAAAACGTTGTTATTTGCCACGTTCAACCACGACTGCTTCCTCTTCTTCTTCTGCAGCAACATGATTTGATGCAGTAGATCTTACGATATTTACTCGTTTCCAAAAACTTATACGCATTCGAATAAACTTTGTATGGATTCAAATAAACTTTGCTTGCATTTTTGAAGGAACTTTGAAATAAATATTGTTTACAGTAAAGTAAACTTTGCATACAGTGAAATATATTTTGCATGTAGTGAAGTAAACATTGTATGGAACATATGGACTTTCGTATGTACGCCATAGTACATGGGTTTTTATAGAAAGTTGGAAGAGCTACTAGAAATCATTGCTTAAAGATTGTACTGGGAAACCGTTACAGAGGCAGATTGATTGTATATTTGTAAGATTAGAATTTAGTATATAACTGAGTTGAAGAATTAATAAAATTCCACTGCCTAGTGTTGATGAATGACAAATCGAAAAAAAACACTAAAACTTAAACGAAAACGGCTCTGACGTCGTATTTCGTTTTTTAATCATAAAACTATGATTCCTTTTTTCAGTTGCGAATTTTAGAGAAATTGCAAAATAGCATTTTCACTTAGAAAAGCAAGACATCGCCAAGTATCGAAAACAGGATGAAGACAATTGTTTATGCAAATTGCAAAATAACATAACCTTATATTGTTTTGCCCGGGGAGTGTGCGTAACGCTGTTTAGGAAACTTTGATTCAACAACCAAGGGCCCTAGATCAAAAGGGACCCCCAAGATATTTTCACACCCACGCTTTTAAAACTTCACTCTTGTTCACATTGTTTTCAAAAACTCTTACTCCTTTTAGGAACAGGCAAGGACCGCGGAGCTTATTACAGATTTGAGGGGGGCTTAAATGTCTCTTTTGGGGGGGGACTAAACATGCTACAAACCAAGAGTAAAGTGACTTTTTGCTTGTTTTTAGTACATTTTGGGAATTATCAAAGGTGGGCTAAAGCCCTCTAAGCCCCCCGCCCCCTACTCCCGCGGTCCCTGGGAAAAGACTCTCCAAAGGTTAAGACATTCGTGTAACTATGATCCCATTTTTGCAACATAAAGAAACTTTGGCAAGGAACCTTTGTCCTAATTTAAAATATTTTAAGACAAACTCCAGTCATCAAAGAGACTTAAATTTTACGTTCATGACAGTAGGGAAATCAAAATCTAACGTTAGATGAATCATTTCATATTAATACAGACATACATTGACTTGCTTAAAGCTCAATTTTACAACAACAAGTTTTTAGTCGAAACAAAGCTGCCATTATCATAATACAAGACTTCACCTTACCATTCCTAAACTAATATAAGAGGTCACTTTTAAGTACCCGAAAGGGGGCAGAGCACAATACGTTTAATGTTAAGGGATGTTCAGAAGTATTCAGTCCAATTGAGACTGACCTTGCGATGATAACTTGGATTTAAAAATGACTTTGAAAAAAAGCAAACATTTGAGTATACTAAAGTTTTCACAGTAGACAATTTCGAGTTCGTTTTCACTTTAGGACTCCGTTGATAACATTCTCAATAGGCAAGCGGCACTCATTGGGCAACCTCAACAGTCATGTGCTCGCGTTTCTGATTGGCCTATTGCGATCCACAATTTGGTATATATTTCCTAGCGTAGAGTTTTCGATCTATGTTCTGACGTTTTATACTCTGAAGAGTGTCAGACGAAAAGCTTTAGCTTACTCAAATGTGTGCTTTTTTCAAAACCATTTCCAAGTTTGGTACCACCAAAAGATAACTTGGATTTCTCAATACATGGTTTGATCCATGGGATAATATTTCTGAATTTCTATTCATTGACAAGTGAAGACAGCATTTGCTCCTGTGATAGGATCCTTGCCCAAAATAAATCGAATATTGCTACCCCCCTCCCTTAAGCCCTTCGGCTAACCAAGACTATTTTGATTCTGAAGTTTCCGTACAGGCGAAAATAAAAACGTTGAAGTTGCTTTCTTGGTTGCAAATTGTCAAGCATAAAGCCTCTTAACAGCTTGGAATTCTCGGGTCAATAATTTGTGAAATTCGATAACAAGCGAGAGCCTTTCAAAAAGCTACTTTCCACGCTAACTAGTTACCTTAAGTGTTTACGCAGAAAATGATCCCATTCAAAAATGAAAAATATGCTTTCTCTTTCCCATTGCATGAATTTCTGCATTAATGGGACTAGTTTTTCGAATTCCATGTTGGCTTTATAGGTGTGATTAAATCAGCGTATCAAATAACTCCTGTAAGCCCATTTTCATGCTGGAAATAGTATGGAAATGGTATTACTGTGCTTAGAACCCAGACTATGAAGGTAAAACCCAATTTCGAGGACCGGTTTCCAGTATCCCATTCTAAAAGTAGCATCAAGGGGTTTCTTTCTTTTCATTTCCTCTAAATGAATTTCACTATATGATAATGCCCATAAATCTTTAGTTTCGGGTTTTTTTTCATTAATCAGTAATAACATATCGTGATGGGCCAAGGCTGGGGACGGTTACCCCAGTCTAAAAATAGCAATTGGGGGCATTTTTGGCTTCTGTCGGTTCGGCATCGTCATCACCATGTCAAATTACCCCCGTATACCTATTTTCATGCTGGCATCAAAATTTGCACAATTCAAGTCAAATACTGTGCTAAGAGCCCAGACTACAAGTCTTGCCTGAAAGCGGAGCCTAACTGTAATAGGAGCTACATTGAATAGTTTTGCGTATTCGAGTCTTACTTTCAATGTGACTGTCAACGGTAATCAACTTTAAGTGGAGCCGAGTGTATTAAGCGAGACAGAATGTTTTTCCGCGTGACCTATATGCCATTAACCTAAACCATCACTGTCAGCATTCCAGAGCCGAGGTGGTGTGGAAGAGTTATCGGGCAGATACCATAGTAAGACCACGACCGTTGAGCGTCCCCATTAATTTTGGCAAAAACTGTAGCAGCGAATTTGTAAGTATTTTACCAACTAGATTGTTGCGAGAAACTTGCTGTTGGCGATAAGAATATTCTGTTCCAGATTTTAGTGTGATATTGACATAGAAATATTATACAAGTACTTTTAACTCGTGTGACGTCACCATGGATATCCTACGATTGCTCAGTTTTAATTTCATCCTTACAGGAAGTTGCTCGGCAAAAGACATGTTCATGGATGCAGAAACTGAAATGGAAATGAAGAAAGAAATTGTGTAAATACACAATGAATGATTACTATGTTATTAATAAGAATGTGAAGAAGCATAAATGTAATATTATGTATGAATTTAAAGATAATAAAAACTAAATCAAAAGCCATAAAAATAGGGGTTAGCAAGTTTTAGGCAAGCATAGCAAACTGGAATATATTTCAGGGATAATCTTAAGCTTTTGACAATCATAAAAACTCAGATTTTACAACAAAAACAAAAAAGACGATTAACTAGCTAGAAAGCAAAAGAGTGTAAATTATTTTTAGTTATCTTATGAAAATTATACAAAACATTTGATATAAAGAAAATATTTCAATAATTACCAAATTTTACATTTCAGAACAGCCACGTGTTGATTTGGGACTTCCTTTCCATTTATGTAGCAACCTATAAACAGAAAAATAGACATTAACTCTACAGTAAAATCAAAATTAAACTTTAGCTTGATATTCGAATTTAATATGGTTGGTTGCTGACTAGGTGTATTCAGAGTTTGCATCTTACAGTTTATATTCAAAATAATGTTTCGAAGGCGTTCGAGGAAATTCGATCTGGGCTGTGGGCTAAATGTCATTTCAAATTTCCACACTACTCTGTCTATACATTTTGATGATAGCAAAAGGCCCTTTGCAAACTCGTGATTGTCGACTCACCTTCTTTCATATTTCCTAAATATATATTTCCTAGCTTAGTGTTTTGATCTATGTTCTGACGTTTTATACTTTGCAGAGTGTACGACTCAAAATGTTTGCTTTTCTCAAAGCCATTTCTAACTGCTGTACCATGAATCGATTGTTTACACCTTTTTATAACAAGCAAAAAGGACATAACACACATAATCTTTTAACAACACATAAGTAAAAATATTTTTGTTAAGGGGTATATCAACGGTGTTCTTTCTATGTCTTTGTATTTCAATTCTGCCTAAAGTTACCTTATATTTCAATACAATTATATTGGTTTTTTATCAAATTTCACCCTTGAAAATTTGCGGAAAAATTGAATTTATTCAAAATCTTGTTGGACAGAAAATCCCAAAGAAACAGATAATTCAGGCAAGAGAAGCTAGCAAATAACTGACAATCTTGTTACTCTGGAGCGAGAGCAATTATAACAACACTGACAAAATGCAAAATAATAACACTGTTTTCAGAAGGAATACTGGAGAATTTAGTCAGGGGTCTTAAAACAAGGTGATACTCAATGAAGTTGTCCGTGCTGTACGTTGAAAATGAAAATGAAATTTGATAAAATAAAATAACGACTTTGTACAAGAAATGAATATTTGGTACAACTTTTCGATCTTAACTGATGAAGATTTAAGCTCGAAACGTTTTACCAAATATTCACTTCTTGTACAAAGTCGACATTTTATTTTCCCAAGTCTTAAAACAAGGTCCCTGAATGCAAACCTTAAAGCGGCGACATGCAAAATAATAACCTTGTTTTAGTAGGGAACATTGGAGTAAGAGGTATGAAAATTAGGTCTCTCAATTTCGATGCATATTTCAATATAACTAAATCATACAAATGAATATTGGAAATTAATACAGATTCAGAATATTTTTCCTTGCCTTTAGAAGGAGCTGATAAATCTTTTTCACGAGTGTCGGCGAAATCGCTTGAATCTTCAGTTTTAATGAAAAATAAAACATTTCATAATGAAGCGTTAAAGGATATATACATAATGAATAAAAGCAATTAAAATATTATTCAAAAATAAAGGTGGAAGATTAATCTTCTCTTTTCTTTTAGCACTTTCAGTGGGATCTTTTTAGATTTCAGTTGTGATAGGAAACAGGATAATTGATACAGTAGGAAACAGGGTAATGGTGTGGTAGTTCGACACTTCCGAAGTGTTGTAAAACTTCCTTCCATCCACAAGTGATTATCGATTTACAACCTTCCATTACTCAAACGACGAGGAACTATACCATATAAAGAGAAACAATGTCCGATGGAAATGATGGAGTCCTACAAGGATGCCTATTGTCTCCAGGACTATTTCTGAAATTGTTATACGAAGTAATAATGTTGAGACACCATCAAATTATATAGAATACCAGTAAAAAATTCGGCGTATACGGACTATATGGTTATCAACACGTAGAGAGGAGTTTCAGAAGGAGATCGCAAATTTCACAAATTTTGAAGACAATCAACCAGGCTTATCCAATAAATCCACAAACCGCAACATAGTATATAAACAAACAATAGTATTTTCCTCCAACTAAAGGGGGTTAGCCCCCCTCCTAGCTCCCTACAGGCCTCGGCCCTGAAGGAATTTTGAAGAGAGGGAGGAAAGATCAGGCTGGTTGATTTTGGTTTTAAAGAAAGACAATAGGTTTTAAGTGGTAACAGATTTATCAGAGTTAAATTGGTCTGGGATCTGGGGAAGTCTAGAAGATCTGGGAGGACAAGTTTTGAGGCGGAGTTCATGATTTTGGCAAAGAGACTTGAAAAGGGTGAGCACTAGAAGAGTATCTTGTATCACGTACATGTTTCAGGTAACCAAGATCATATCTCAAATTTAATTAATAAACCAATGGAAATCGGGTGTGGTCTGGCGGCAAGAGCTGATATTATCCACTGGTTCTGGACTCTCGGCTTTCGCTTTATTATATTTGGCCTGTCTTATTCCGTGGCTGTTAACCACGTGGGCTCACTCTAGCATGAAAAGCAAAAAGCCGAGTTTTGTCAAAAGGTGCTGTGCCAAGAGAAACTCCCAAATGGAACCTTTACGGTTTACCTCGCAGGAAATGTACCAACCTAGACAAACAAAGCTACCCTATCTATAAATCTTGTCTTGTGGGCCGGTGTACATTCATTAATCTTATCTTCACTTTCAAACGCTTCCAACCCTTCCAACAAAACCAATGAAGCAATAGAATCGCTTTAAGGAAGAAAATGTGATCTGATGAACAAACACGTCTAGAAAAGCAACGGCATTTGATACTGTGAAACAGGAGAAAATAATCCACTTTAGGGCTGAACGGCTCAACCTGCGAGAAATTTAATCTGGAGTAGCTATTCAGCCTTCTCAGAATATTAAACTTCCACCAGAAAGGAGCACAAATGATGTTTAAGGTAACTAGGCGTAAATCCAAAAAATTTAACAATCCTGAGGCAGTGCATATATTCATATAGCTGACAAAAGAGCAGCAATGGCAAATAAAAACTCTGAAAGCTTTTCAATAATTACCTTTCGTTGTTTTTCTTCTTAAACATACTCCTCTATTTGGCATTTGTTTGAAGGGGTCTTCTTCCTCTTTTATCAGGCAAAAGTAACCAGCTGGACAACCGATAGGCTCAATTCCTGGAAATTTGCTTGTGCTGCAATCAATTTCTGGGGAATGCCCCTTTCCATCTCCTTCTATAAGCCAAGCACTACCTGAAGATAACAATCAGATGCCAGAATAGAAAATGTTCATGTAATAGCAAAATATTTCTTCTACAGACTACAATTCCACCTTGATAGCAACTACAGGCCATTACCAACTGGCCACATAAATACAACCAAATGCAGTATTTTTGATGATGGGTTATTCTGACATAAAACAAAATTGTCATAAAGTCCTCGATATCGTAGAGGCAGGGCTGTATACGCTATTTAGTGTATAGAACAGGACGGATTAGCAGTTGTCTGATGATTGTATTAAAGGCAATCTGTCTCATTGTGGATTGGTTAACGAGAACAATAGCTGGAACAATAGCCTAAACACGATTCCAGCGCTCCGCCATATTTTTTACAATGCGATAAATTAAAGAGGGACTGGAAACAATAAACATATTTTTGTTCTTACAACCAATCAACGTCGTGACCTTTCAACGTGCGACTCAGACTAGCAACTTAGAATAGCACTTATTTTTTATAAGAATGCTGTAAATTTTTTCTAGCCGTGATATTCTTAAGAAAATTTAGTTTTGAGCCTTAATAGTACTGTTATCTGATAAGGTTTTAAGAAAACATCGCTTGCTCTTAAATAAAAACCACGCTTTTTTAAAAAATGAGATATGTCAGTCATGGGATTCTCTGTTATCAAGATAAAATAAAGATTCAGATTTTTATCTTGAATACTCTTAAAATATTCTTAGAAATTGGATGGTTGCATGCCTGAATATACTTATAAACAACATACTTTAAAAAAGAGTGTTCAGCGCTTATCAAGGGTTAACAAGATCTAGGAGTGTGAGATTATTAAGATGTTGTATAGCACTTTAAAGACAATGGATATTTGAAAATGGCTTTGTAAAAAGCAAACATTTTACGACTTGACTTAACGATTGCCGTCTAACACTCTTTAGAGGTACTCTTTATTACTTTTCGGTCCTTAATCTGATATCTTATACTCTGAAGAATGTCAGACGAAAATCTGAAGTCACGCTTTATAATTTTTGCCTTTTCAAAGCCATTTTCAAATTTTGTACTGCCAAAAAACTGCGCACAATTTATATTATGTCTTTATTTTATACGCTGCTTTTTTGCATATTTTTACATCAGGCAAAAATAGATAGAAGCCTGACAGAGTGGTATACTTGTGTTAATAAATTATTGCATAAATAGGTATTATAATAATTTACCTCCAACTGTTAAAGGTTGTGGCTCCTCAATCCAGTCGGTGGCTGTGAAAAAAAATGATGATTTTATAATGATAAATTTATCCAAAATAGTTTTCTTTTAGCCTGTGTTTTCTTGGTTTCCAAGCTGAAATGGCTTGTAGTTGTAACTCTGGGTATTTTTGCGACAAAGGATTCGAAAAATTTATCATTTTTTTTCTTTGGATCAAAATAGGCCAAAACTTATGAATATCTAGGTCTGTAGTAAACTTATGTAAGGAAAACTGTTTTTTTATCACAGCAGTGCATTTGACATTATATGAGGATATGATCAATGAATTCACGAGATTCTTTCAGTGCAAATTTTTATTCCTCTTGGTCAATTTCTTGCAATTAATCAGATTGTTGCATGCTTTTAATAAGAACCCCAGAAATTGTAATTAGTCGTCTAGTTTCAATTGGTTTGCAAAAACTGTTGACGTTTAGAGTGATCAAAGGGTTAAAGGCCTTCCTGTGTACACTGATTGAAGAAACCATATTGCCTTTGTAGGCGAGATAGTGGCGGGAAAAATTAATCAGGTAAAATGGCAGAATAGAATTGGATAATTATGAATACCCTGGGAGCCAGAGTCTCCATAGTTTAGTTTTTGTTCGGGAGATGAATCATGACCGTCTTCCAGACATGCACTAGCCCCCGTTTCAGAGTTATTCTCCGTGCGCATTATCACTTAAAGCCCTGGCGGGAACTTGTGTGGTCCCAGACACCAGAGCTTGCGAATACTGTTATTAATGCGCATGTGCTATGACCCTGCAACACTGATTGGTTAAGACGGTATTGTTTCGAAACAAAGGTCTGAAGGTTTCGTCTCCCGAATAAGTTCTGGAAGTATAGTTTGAAATTTGAGCGTTCATATTTTGTAACAGCGGTCTAAAATACTCAAATCCCAGTTTCTTGAGGCTCTGCTACCCAGGGTAAATGATGCCATGAGCCTGTATTCGAAATTTAGCGCATAAAGCCTGATTTTTCGCGCGAATTTTTCTCTCGAATTCGAAGTTCAATTTACACTGGCAGAAATTTTTATGCGAATTCGCTGCGAGTATTACAAAAGAATATAGCGACTGTCCGAAGAGTGCTCTTATCAGAGAGCTTTAAATTTTAAATTTATCAAAAAGCGAGCAAAACAGCAAAAAGCGTTACTGAATTAGAAAAATTTATTCAGGACGTCGTCAGAAGGGGGAATTCCATCTTTCGGTAAGAGAGATTTACGTTAACATTTATAAGACCAGGATAACTTCTTCAAATACTTTCAAAGGTCGCCATCGAAGCTTTATGAAACTTTCAAGCCAGTTTTCGTCAATTTGAACTTCAAATGTTTGAATATTAATCTGATATGAATCCACATACATGGATTGTGTACAAGGAACAGGAAATGAATAATTACCAACCTATTTTATTGACGTTTTAAAGGTGAGTGTTTGAGAAAAAGAATGCGGAATAAACGTAGGTCTTCTGAAACCAAAACAGAAGTCAGGTGTCTTCCAAAGCTGTTCTGATTGGTTTATTTTACAAGGCGAAAAATTTCGCAGTGAAAAAGTAGGAATGGTTTCTGGAGCCCCCCCCCCAATAATTGTCAAACTGTAGTATGTTTCCTTTATAACAGTGTACTGTATGAGAAGGAAAACAATGGGCAGCCCCCCCAATATGAATTTCGTTCCGACGGCACTGCGGCTTGATAGTTACTTCCCAACAGTAGCTAGAAGAAAGAGTATTGATACACTGGAAGAAAAAATTATTCTATACTAATTAGAGATTTAGCCTTTAGTTTGTTGTGGTTGAAATTTTTTTACGCAACACTAGTCCTTCATAACTTCACATATATTAGACCGTGGTCGTTCAATTGGTGTATTTCTTAAGACAAAATTGAACTACTTTCGTCGAGGCCGTCTCAGATTCTCTGAAAAGACGGCCCTCTGACCTACAGAACGAGGTTCCGAGAGGACAGCAGAAAAGTGTGCCTATTTACCGTTTCCAGCGTCTATTTTATACAGGAAAGGGAATTTAATACGTCACCTATCCAGAATAACAAGGATCACAATAAATAAGCATAGAAATAAAAACAATTGACTTGTATTTGCAGCATATCAATCTCTTCAACGTTAATTATCATCCAAGATTATAGAATTCATTGCTCCTCCTTAACAGAAATGAAATCTTTCAGACGCTTGGTTTGGACTTTTACTTACGATAATAGTTGGCAGATGGGAGGCTCGATTTTGGAAATGAGGCATTCAATTTCAATGGCATCATAGAAAACTTACCAACAGCTCTCCGAACTGGCTGTGGAACAACACACTTGTAAATACAGCCAGAAGGACAGCACTTTAGGCCAGGGCCACACTCCGAATCTCCATTGCACAAATTGTATTCATCTCCACAGCCATTAATTTTCTCGCTTGTTTTTACAATGAAATTGTCTCCTTCTATGTTCCTTGGGCAGAAGAGTTCCTGTGGACTGGTTCTCGGACTTTTCAGGAAACGCAAAAGCTGAAATTGTAAATCGAACAACATTCGCAAGATAACGACATTAATTTCTGCATAGGAAAGCCTATACTGTTAAATGCGTTTCGACTAGTCTAAACAGACATCGCTTCGGACCCATAAGGAGTCCTTCTTCAACTAGTTCATAAAGTGATGCTCCAAAGATGTTGACACCTGGAAGCACCTTAAAGGAAATTATCACTTTAACATTAGTGATTTAACTATCTTTTGAATGAAAAGATTGTTGACCCCCCTCCCCCCCCCAAGCCCTCCAGATCCTCAAGACCATCAGTTCCTCTAAATCGTTCAGAACCTCTAAGCCTTCACAACCCTTGTGACCTCAGGACCGACCAGACCTTTCAATTTTTTCCAACCTTTCAGATTTTCAAGGCCCTAAAGACCATCAGAAGCCCTAAGACTCTCCGGATCCTCCAGACCTTCCAGACCCTCCGGACCCTCAAGATCCTCCGGACCTTCAAGACTCTCCGGATGCTGAAGACCCTCGGGACCTTCCCAGACCTTTTAATTTCTCCGAAATTTTCAGACCCTCCATACATTCGAGCTGCTCACTGGTCTTCGATGTACAGAAAAAATTACTAATAAAAATACTAGGGATAATGCAACACTGTTGATTTGAAAGAATAGTAAATAGTGAAAGAATAAAGAATGCTCCCACTATCAAAAGGTTCATGCATTGTAAAATCAACGTCATAGAATTTAATTGCACATGATACAATTTAATTAATCTAGAATAACAAATTAATCTAGAATTTAATTGCACATGTGAATATGATACAAGATTGTGAATGCCAAAGAACCTTCCAACAACTGCTCGTATCCTTAACCAATTCAGGGCCATGTTTTATTTCTTTAAATGGACTGATGATAACAGGATAGATCATTTTCAAGCATCCAATCAATCAACCAATCGACCAATCACTTTACTTATATCAATCAATCACTACAACGAATTGACAAGTCATTCAACTCAATCCAATCGACCAACAAATAAACATATCATTTAGAACCAGGAACTCGCCAAATTTCACTATGTCCACAATTGTTAGAAAAACTTTCAAAAAAGACTTCAACAAATTTCCCTTGATTTTCTTCTACTTTAGAAGCAATGAAGAAACCAGGAACAAAGAACAAAATCTAACCAAGGGCAGTACCGAGGTTTTTACAGTGTCATAATAATTAGTTTGAGTATTCAAATATGCTGAAATCATAGACAAATCAACAATAATCGGGAATCTTTTGTAATGGAAGAATGGGAAACTCAGGATTAAATAAAATTTAGTCTTTCTTGCCCAAAACTCTTGCCCAAAACTGATAATTTTTATGGATAAAGATAACTTAGCGATATTTAGATAGGCACTCCTTTTTTAGAAGCAAATACCACTACCAGGACCTTTAAATAAACGGCTTTGAAAGAAATAAAACAAGCAAAGCCTTTCTAGTGACTCTCCCCTATGCTACAAGTCTAGAATGAGATATGTTCTTTAAGCATAATAATGACAAACCGAATTTTTAGCTTTCTTTAAGTAGATTCTTCTTGGTCGGCCAAGGCACTGCATTATAGCAAGAAGAACGAAAACGAGATGCAGGAGATGAGCCAACCTTTGCTTCATCGTGTCAGGTTTATTCTGCAAAAAGAAAAGAAACAAAGTCGAAAATTGATTTTTGACATCCTTTTATTGAGCAGACGAGTTAATGAAGATGACTGGAAACCGTTTAGTTGTGAAGTGATCAATGACCAAGGGACAGCGACACACCATTTGGATGCTTTAAAAACGTGAAATTCGAAGTAGTAAGCTAGAAGTGTCTTGTTCTACATACGATAACTTACGAAGTATCACGTATATTTGAATTATAGGCACATGAGGCCGGAACCCCTATCAACAGGGAACCTGTTACCCTGGGTACCAGACTCACTTTATATAACAATAAGAGAGTCTGGTTCAGTGCATCCGGACCTCGTTTCGGTGGATTTATTTGAAAGAACTTTAGTCAATTTAACAGACTGGAAACTAGGCCTGTAAAACCAGACTGTCTGATCTATAACAAAGATACTCGGTAGTCAATGGAGTTTTGGGAAATCTTAAAGCAAATGTATTTTATATAGTTCTGTAAAGTCGAAATTATTAATACAGTAATAATAAACTTTTCTGTCTAAAGATTCCAATCAAATCAGGTGTAAAACGCCTTTTGCCAACCACAAACGTGTGCGAAGCATGAAATTAAAGGTAGCACAATGCAGTTATAAAATGTTGATCATTAATAGATTTCGTACATAACTTAAAATAAGTTTTTTTAATTTTTTTTCATAAATTGTGTGTACTTTCAAAGTCTACTTCCTTGTTATTGTGAAGGCAGTGGTTAGCATCAGCACGTTGGAAGTTCATTACAGCAAAAATGAAAAGCCCTGTATGACGGGGCGATTATTAGCCATAACTGATTTACGTGTGTTTGTTGTTGTTTTTTCTCGGCACCTTGCGGTGTTTCTTGTTTACTACATTTCACTACAAGGCCTGGTTTCTTGACAATGAGAGGCACTGCCTGAAATATCAGAGACTTTGTAAAGCCAGTTGGCAATATGGTGAAGGTGTCTCTTCTCTCTACAAACAAGGCTTTCAATGCTGTTCTGTGTTAAGTTTCACAACATGCGAAAAATATTCTTTGAGTAAAGTTTAACAGCGTCTTCAATCTCAATCTTTACGGTCGCCAGCATTAATTGATGTTGTGTCCTGTTCAACGTTTTACACCAGAGCTACGTGTTTTGTTTCGCTGTGACCTTTGAACGTACAGAAACCTGTACACTTGCTCCTAAATGGTTAATATCAGCACACCAGAACGAGAATGGGGCGCACGTGACCAGACTTTCTCTTATTTTGTGTAGAGTGAATCTGGTACCCAGGGTAGGAGCCTGTGGACATTTCGACACATTTCTAGCCAATACAACAATTAATTTTTAAAAGAAGAAATGTTATATCTGTATTAGCTGAACAGAGTCACAATCGCAGCTCTCTGATCATTTCGTTAAAGTGATTTTCATATAATCAGTAGCAAAGCTATCCAATGACTCAACGATTAACGTTGCTGTTTCGTTTTGAATTTGTACATATTCTCGTCAGTTCATGTGATGATTTTATAATCGATACTAGGGTTTTCAAAAGGTATAGTAGATTCTTTTTACTGTTGTTTACTTATCCTCGATCATATTAATACTTTCTTCTGTCATTTTCTACTCTACTAGCATTTGTTACTGCCTAGCTCCCGAAGGCAGCTATGCTTATCGAGCAGTGACCGAAACCTTCCTCTCGATAGAACCACTCCGCATAATTCCTACACCTGGAATAACAGAGAACCGGCGACTCTCTTCACTCCAAGTAAATTTTTGGTTTAGGCATGGCAAGGACTCGAACTTCAGACCCTTGGGTCTGAATGCCGCGAACCTAACACATAACCATCCACACATTGAATTTGTTGGCCAGCCTAACTTTGGACATATGGCGCAACTGTCGCATCAAATCTAAAGATATCAAGAAGCATAAGTAAAAATACAAAATAATTGCACCCTTTGTGATTAAAAGGGTAGTCGAATGAAGCTTCTATTAAATTCGATTTGAAACTTCAATGTTTTAACAGAACACATTACAGCCTATGCTAAGTTTGACTACCTTTTAATTCTTGATGGTGTAATTATTTTGTATACCATTGAAAGTCGACATGTTGACATTTGAGACATACGACACAGGAGACTTAAAAAGGGTCAGACATAGGGTCAGTGGATTAACGATTGGAGGCTTTTTTGCCCTCTTGCCACGTGTCTAGCACAACAAAAAGGTTTCCAGGAGCTGATGAAATGCTTCTGTAAGTTTTTGTCATACAAGCAGTGTCGTCTAGAGGGGGAGGGGGCAAGGAGCAAATTGCCTCAGAGCCTCGTGGTCTAGAAGCGTCATAAAACAATAAATTCCGCTTTCACATGGAATTAATTAAAAGCAACAGAATTTTGCCTTACTGATTAAAATAAAAAATTGAGCTTTTTCAAAGATTGCAAGAAAATTAATGAACTTAAGCTAATATAAAGGGCATAGTCGCAAAAATTTTATATTTGCGCAATTATATCCCGGGTAAAAATCCCTTACAGCATAACCTACGTTTTTTTATAAAAACCAGTAAACATATATTTAGGCTGACTGTTCCCTATTTCTTCGAAAATCTGAGGCTGGATTGTTCTTATTTTTTTTAAAATAAATGCGGTGTAAACAGTGCAATTGCTAGCATTTTCGCTTTAAGGAGGTGCTCAGGCCTCATTTGCCAACAAAGTGAATGAGCCAATTTCATTTGCCGACAAGTTTGAATATTCACCGAAAAAGCACCCACACATGGCTAAGAATCCTTGTTTTTGAGATGAATCGTTATTCAAAATTCCATTTTACAGTAGCTCAGCCTCAACTTGTTCGTAATTTGTTATTAACTTTCAAACAATTTTGAGGCTCGTGTTCTTATGAAATTGTTCTTATGAAAAAAGAATGTACACAGTAACAAACACAACGATCTTTGGAACGATCGTTATACTTGCACGAGCTTAGTCATTTCAACTACCCCTATTCGACAAAAAACACTATGAAACAAATACACGAACTGAAAAGCATCTTACCAAATAATGTATTGTCCACTTGCTCGCCAGACCCTCGACGTACCAGACAGGATAGTCAGTGGAATTTGCAGACTGCTATCTGTGAAGCGGGGAAACAAATGCTTCACTATTAAATAGACTTAGCGATATTGCTACTTTACAAAAACCGATACGCAAATATAATCCTTTAATCCTGTTAGATTAAGCTGAAGTATGCGAGAAAGTACTTCAGATCAGGTACGGTGAATACGCAAATTGTGAGCTAATGATTGGTCTAAAACTTAGAAATTCACCTCAGAATTAGTGATCATCCTCTAGGGTGGAGATGGGCATTAATTTGTAGATCATGTTAGAAGAACTCTTGTGACAATATACTTATTGTTTGCTGAGGGTGCTTTAAAACTCTTCAAAAACCAGGAACCATCTGACAATTGGAACAAATGGCTTCTGTCAGGGGCGGGGCTACAGGATGGATTGGGGTGGACATGTCCACCACCCTTTTTCAAAGATCGATGTTAATCTTGGACGATTTCCAAAATTGATAAGGAAATCACGGGGGGAAGAGGGGTGAATCATGTAAATAATTTTTCTGCTTTGATGATAAAGGTTTATCCGAAAGCTCTTTCAGTGATCCTGTACGTTCTTCAACGAAAAAAAATATTTTTGAAGCTGTGAAGAACAAATTTTATGACATCTTTATAATAAAGCTCAACAATACGAAGGGTTAAATTTTTGGGCAATCCCTCTGATTCCTTGACCATCCAACCCATTAAAGATTGATTATCAATGTAGTTCAGCGTGTTGTACGTCGAGAAATGAGCAAATATCCATACAATTAAATAACAACTTTGTAAACGAATGAAAAATATGTATGACGTTTCGAGCATAACTCTTCATCAAGTAAAATAAATAGAAGAAAAAGATATTACTTATAAACCTGGTTCTCTTATTCCTAATGGTCATAACAAACAATTTTCGTATCTTTCCTAACCCAGCTATCATTATTTTATATCTTATCTCATCTATATACTTTTCACCCCCCTCACATATTTCCACCTCGTCTCAAACGTTCTACGTTGCATTCCTACCACGTTTTATATAGTTAACCTTTCGAGTCCATTCTCTTTTTAAAGCCTGGTTTCCATATAACTTTTATGCGTCGGCGATACGTCGGCGATGCATCGCCGATGATTCTCTTCAGACTGATTTCCATATAACTTTAGGTGTCGCCGACGTATCGGCGACACTCTGAACCCAGGCCTCCTTCGGAGCCTATTGGCGGGTAAGTTATCAAAATGGCAGCTGCCAGCAACAAGCGCTTTTTGCTACAAACTTTCACTCATCGGTGACCTGTCGGCGATGCATCGCCGACGCATAAAGGTTATATGGAAACCAGGCCTAACCATTGCTATTAGTATTCTTTTTACCCCCATGAAGAGTTATGTTCGAAAACGAGGCCGGGGAAGACCAAGAACGAGATGGAAGGATAATATCAAGAGTGACATGCAGGAACTGAACCTGACCGGGGAAGATGCAGAGGAAAAAAAACAATGGAGATGGAGGATTCGGGCGACTAACCCTGATAAATCAGGATAAGGTCTAAGGAGAAGAAGAAGAAGAAGAAGAAGAAGAAGAAGAAGAAGAAGAAGGAGAAGAAAAAGAAGATAAAAGAAGAAGAAGAGTTATGTTCGACACGTCCTTCTTGTCTTTCATTCGTGTACAATATCGTTAATTAATTGTATCAATTTCCAGCCATTAAAGGTTGGGCCCATAATTGGTTTCTGCGCCAATGCAGAAAAACCTCATTGATTCACGATATTAAATTTCAGAAGCCAGAAACATGTCCATCCATCCTCAAGCAAAAATGCAAAAACTCGAGACAGGGTGTGATCTGGGCAAAAACCTGAAACGTGGCCATCAGCTGCAGGATGGCAAAATTTACGGGCCTGACTTTAATAAGAGGAAGGGGATCAAGAACCAAAGAAGTGCAATTTTGCAGCTGATCACGCTGTATGATTAACGAAATTGTAGAAAATATTAATATGATCGAGGATAAGTAAACAACAGTAAAAAGGATCTGCCATACCTTTTGAAAACCCTTGTATCGATTATAAAATCATCACATGAACTGACGAGAAGATGATAGCAAATGCTAGCTGATCAAAGCTGTGGAAAGTTCGTCCAGGGAGATAAAGTTGCAATCTAATTCCTATGATGAATTCTTACTTGCTTTGGTTTGTCAGAATTCAGTTGAAATTCAGCGAGAGCCGGTAAACTGTTGATATCCATGTCAAGAATGTACATTGATTGTGTGTCATGAGCGAATGATGCTATCATATAGCCAGCCAACAGCTGTCTACAGACATGTACGCTCAACGATACGGTTGCTGAGGGGTGTAACATTTCAATTCCATAACTGATTCCGAAAATTCATAGAGGTAATTCAGTCAAATTCAAAATCAAATTCATTGCTATTTGACAACAGTTACATAGATCGCATCAAGATTTAACCAAAAAATTATAATTTACTTGTATTACTCGTTCGAAAGAATAAAAAATTTACAGATTGTCATCTTAATAAAATGACATAGTTTTGTCAGAAAGGCACGTTTTGGGATAAAGCTAGCTAACCGAAGTCTACAAAAATAACACATTCACCAGTTTTGATCTGTAACTCTCCTTTAGAGCGCAATAAAACGTAAATTTTCACCAACAACAATTTGTGCTTTCAATGTATCAAGAAGGGTTCTCCCATATAACAAGGATAGTGGTGCTCGGGCTGTGGTACAAACTATCTACGCAAAAAGTAATTTCTAACATACAAATTGACCCCAAAAAAATATTTTTAGCCTTTCACAAAAGGTGTTTAGAATTTTTCCTATATATAAGGCCCAAAATTTAACCCAGAAAATCATGAACCCAAAAAAGCAATTGTTTAATCGACTGACCCAAAAATTACTTTGCTCCATTTGTATTCCCAGACAGTGACCTGAGCAGCCCTATACTGATAATATATGACCAGCCCCACTATCCCCAGCCCCCTGGAAATTGTATTTTGCGACTAAACTGTGTTAAAGCCCCTTCGCAACCAAGGAAAAAATAAGTACTTTAAAAAGATTCGTGGTTTTATCAAGATTTGCACAATTCTGCCTTTTATGCAAACTGCCCTGACTATCTCTCGAACGGCGCTCAAAGTCGCTTCCAATAAAAAGCATCCTATTAGCAGACTTTTCAAGCACTGAACATCCAATTAGCAGACTTTGTTGCATAAACGTCTTTATTATAATAATAATGGAATAATTAACGTCTTTAAATTTTAATAATAATGAATACATTTCGTTTTCAATTCAACTTAAACTACAATTACAAATCTCACTATTACAAGGTGATTTCCAGTCGGCTAGCCTGTTTTTACAAGAAAATACTATAGCAATCGTAAGGTAAAAGGGAAAACTTAGAAGAGAAAAAAAACAACTAAAGTTAAAAAGGATGTAATTCCGGATTTGTTCATGGTTTAGTTTTGCAACAAAATATGTAGTACGTAGTACGGATGGCAATGTTCGAAAGTTTAGAGATGAGATACCGTTTTTGTTGTTGATCGATGGAGAGAGAGTCACACATTTTGAAGAAGGAGATGCAGGAATTGCCAAAGATGCCAAGAGAGTTCATAGAAAGATTCACAAAAGAGACACATTTGAACTTCCGCTGTAAGTCAGATAGGAGAGAAGCATACTTGCTGTGTTTTCTTGTTGCATTTGTGTCAAGATTGGATTCGAAGCCAACAGTTAGCTCTAAGATGTATAGGTAATTGTTGTTAGTCTTCAAAAGAATATCTGGGTGACGGTTTTCTCCAGTTATGATTGATGGTGAAAGATAGCCAGGTAAATCAGTGTAGATGGTAGATTCATTAACAGCTTTAAGAGACGTAGCTAGAAAGTTTAAGATAGAGTTATGACGCCAGGTGTATCGGCCTTGTTCCAGATATGTTTTGCAGCCAGCAACAACGTGAAGGAGGGTTTCTGGCAGAAAACAGAAAGAACAGTCAGAAGTCTGGCTCAAGTTCCACTTATAATAATAATAATAATAATAGTAATAACAACAACAATGAAAATAATAATAATAATAATAATAGAAATATTTATACAGAGTGAAACCTTTTCAGTACCAAAGGCACTGCTATCAATAAGGACCCTGTGTTAGATAGTAAATAAAAAACATCAGTAGCGAACAATGTACCTTAAATTCCCTGCTGTGCGGTTGGTGTCTCGTTGGAACCTCACTTTAATATCTTTAGAGCTTGGTACTGAAGAGCCAGGTACTAAAATGATCCTCTGTTGAAATACAAAACACGAAATGAACACAGAATGAATGGAAAACAAAAATATTAAGAAACTGGGTGTGTTTCATTGATTGCCATGCTCTAAAAAGGAAAATAACTAATTTGATTAAACACTTTTATAGCTCATATAGCTTTACATCTCAATGTGGATTAGTATCCACAAATATCACAGAGTAAGTCTTAAAAACTCAAGGACAAATCCAAGGATTTAGAGACATCCTCGCCTGTCTCTCGCCACAATTACATTAGAAAATAAATTAAATACCCTGTGCAATTTTAATCCATATTGATCCTATATCACAAAAACCTGCATATTAGAAAGCGAAAATAGTTTCTAAATTAAAGAGAGTTATATGACAAATACTTGTAGGCCATCTTTACAAAAACTGGCTAGTAATTTTCAAAGTAATTTTGATAATATCACGATGATAGTAAAAAAGGCAAATTGCGGTTAAATAAACCTTTGGTTGGTTTCGGATTTTAATGAAGATTTCAATAACGTCTCAGTGACTTAATTAGGCAAGGACCAAAATCTGGGGCTTTGACTTACCTATTTCTTTGAGTGGATGCTTTATTTTTATGTTAGTCAGTTCATTCTGGCTTTCAAGAAGTTGAATATCAAAATTGGTAATTTAATTAACATAAACCGAAACAGTTTTGTAAGTAGAAATTCTTAAAAAGATATGTCCTGGTTAAGATAAGAGGATATCAGTGAACTGACATATATAAAAAGGAATAAGAAAGTATCCAATTCTCTATCTACGGGGGCATAAAATTCGTTGGAAACAACAAAAGAACCTCGTAAGTAATTTTGTATATGTAAACAATCATTGAAAGTTTACAGCAAAATATTGAAAAAGGATGAAGAAAGAGAGAAAATAGTCTAAAATGGCTAGATATCCTGCAATGGTGGCACAAGTTGTCGCAGGGGATTAGGGGAATAAGCGTAGCTTTAGGGGAAGCCTTGGAGACCACGTCCTGCTTATAACATAGAAATTCCCCCATCTCTTAATCATGTTTTACCCTGCTTATAGTGCTTTTTTCAGAGGTAAATATAAAAACATCCAGCTCATTGGTAGAATTTCGAAGTACTCACAAAGTAATTTAAAAACATATTATTTTAAAAACAAGTGCGCTGGATAAACCAAGGCTCTTGAATAAACAACACTCATCATTAGGTACCATCTTCTATCAGAAGGTTGGCTACCATGACCCTCCAACTATCCCTATCCTCAGAATATCGTTTAGCTCTCCCAATGCTCTCACACCCGCTCCATTCCTTGACATCGCCTCCCCATGTTCTTCTTTGTCTTCCCCTGTCTCGTTTTCTGCCAATCACGCCTTCCAAAACAAGCCTTACCAAGAACCTGGATGATCACAACACTAGGCCTAGATATTGATGTAGCAGCAGACGCAAATCATTGGCTCTTGTTGATGGTTGAATGCAAGGATGAACCATGTATAAATGAACCATTTGTGCTAGTTACAGCAAACCATCCACCCAATAAGTCGAACCCCCGTTAACTCGAACATTCGCTTAGTCGAACTGAAACTACATTTCTCTCGTCAAATACTTTAATTGGAAAATCCCTGATAACTCGAACACTCGCTATCTCGAGCCATTTCATTTGGCCATTGGATGTTTACGTTACCAGGAGTTTACTGTATATTAAATTTCAGCAGCCTTTACAACCTTTTTGATCTTCATTTAAACGACTTCTTAGTAGAGTCATTATTTCACGATGCTTTACATACTTTTCTTCCAAAATCTCAACCGTAGATTAAAAATATCGAAAACAAAGAGAGCTATTGAGCCACTGACGCTAGCGTTCCCTGTCCCATCCATTCAAGAAGAGAATCTTAAATTTCATGAAGACAACTAAAACGCGACCTTTTTTAAGTAATGTAGGATTTAACGGATATATTTTACGGGTATACACATTTACATGTCCTTGGTTATAAATAAAATGGTAATAAAGTATTAGGAAAAGGGTAAAATTGGTCCCATGCACCTGTTAATATTTTTAGCACCTGCACCCAGATAACCTCAAGGACCCTCCGCTTCGTTTCATTGCTATACCCCAAGGGTTGGCAACCTTAAGAAAGAAACCAGATCCTTTAAACTTTATCTACAATATCACTGAGGGCCGTATGCTGCCCATCCCTATTATTCAGTGGCAGAAATTCATTTTTCAGGTGGGGGGGGGGGGCTGGGGGGGTCGAAACCCACAAAAACAAGCAAATTT